TCCTGCCATTTCTCCCTAACATATAGAGATAGTTTTGACCTCATAATCATCACCCCATCGCACGATTGCATCTTGTTGTGCAGCAGAGGGGTTGTCTGTTATATGCTCAATCCCGATCATAAACAACCCGGCCCGCTCATAGCGGCCATCTTCAGTCTCAACAAGCACCAAACCACATGTTTCGTGCCGATCAGTAGGCCGCATTGATAGACCAAGGAAAAATAAAGGGCCACGCCCGGGCGGTGCTATGCGCCGGCTGCGAAAGGGTTCATCTTCTGGGACCTGCGAAGGTATGTCAGGCACATATATGCCAATCCTGGCCTCAAGTGATGCTAGAAACCGCATCCATATCTCCTCCGTATGCATGCTCTTCAACGGTCCTTGTATGGTTAGTTGCCCACCATCCACATGACCGAATGGTGCTCTATTCGACACCAAGTCCACTAGACACTCGAGCACTCGCACTCGGCTTGATTGCCTCGAAAATTTGTCGATTCTATGTGTAAGAATGCTAGAGCCACGCAGTGACGCCCACGACCAAGATGGAACTCGATACAAAGGCTTTCTAGAGAGCGCGAGTTGCTCCGATGACTTGAATGTGAAAGCCCGGCGCCATTGCAGGTCGTGGATTAGCTGGTGGTCCCACAGCCCCGCAAGATAGCGACCTCCCCATATTTGGTAGAACTCGGAGGCAATTGCAGAGAGAGCAGGCAGCTTGTCGTCTGGATCGGTAAGACTTCCCGAGGAATATTCTCTCACGATCTTATCCCAAAGCCGGCGAAGGGACTGTGTCTCAAGTGAGGTTGGCGCAGTCCGCGGACTATGCTGATGGATTAATGGAGTGAGTGTGGCTTCTCTGGATAGCATCGGGGGACTCAGTATTAGCTCCTCCGGTTTCAAGCCATCGTCAGAATCTAATCCCCTTGCGCACTTGAACTCCACGCCGTCATGATAGAAGCTAATGACACGCGGGGAAAGCAGAAACTCCTGGTAGGTCCAAGCTCGCTCATCGGTTGGGATCTTTCCCATCCTCGTGTCTGTGTCCATAAATCTCGAAGGATAGAGCATAGCGTTACCAGACTGCCCATCAGGGCAGCTTATGGGAACCGTGGCAGAAAGAGCCATCCGATCACGAGTGTCTTCCTGTATCCCAAGAAAACTAGCATCACAATTCTTAGCCCGCGAGGCCGAAAATGTCACCCAGGAGTTCTTGTAAACATTGCCCATGTTGGCTATCTCGTGTATCTTGTCCTCTGCGGAATCTTGTATGATACAGAGGGAATCCACCCAAAGGAAGGGAATCAGTAGCGCTTTTGTAACCGATATGGCGTCCTGAATCGTTGCAGGCAGGCTGCCCATTGGCAAAGCACGGTGGTACGCCTCAAGCCGAGCATTTGTTGTCTGGTGTGGTTGCGGACCACCCCAGCAATAGCTCAATGTCGCGTATTTACCAACTTGACTAGGTATCGGGGTGAATAGTCTTGGGACACTGGACCTAACGTCGATCACGCGACTGGGGAGTTTTGATGCTCCTTCGTCCCACGCAGGGCATCTTTCGTGCTCGTCCATTCCCAAGGTACAGAGAGAGAGCCACAGAGACATCACAAGTAGGGACCTTGCGGAGACAGGGTCTGGATTGACTGGCCTTCCGGGAAGGACCATAGCTGCTGGATCATCTGAATTGAACGACATGGGTCAGCAGAGACAATCACCCTTGTACAAATCAGACGTACCTGGGCCCGTGACCACTTCAAGGTAGCCGCAACGTTGCTGTCGCCCAAGTTCGCCTTCGAGAAGTGACAAAAGTTGTAAACCTTGAGGGCCATGTTCGTCTACTTTTTTGACAGAAAAAAAGACTCTTTCATCCGACTGACTGGAATGTAACATATACTCCAACAAGCTGGCCAATTCGCAGCCCAGCCTGGCATTCTGGCGAATTTGTGTTTCTGTTCCGCGAAATATCTGGACTGCTTCTCCTTGCAAGAGTCGCCGAATCACCACTGGATCCTCGAAGGTCCTACAAGAGCCGCCACAGCTGCTACAATGGCGGGCCGGTCGGAAATCAAAAGCTTCCGAGACGCTTTGTATGTCGGCCACGATTTGAACGTTTCTGCGTGCCATGACGGGGCATTGAAGGTTTGTGATTTGAGATGCACGTATTGACTGAAATGTCTTCTTGGAAAAGGGAAGGACTACCTGATGGTCCGAGGCTTGCGTGAATTCGTGACTGGGGAGAGTTGTGAGCAAGCCATGTCATTCCTTTCACTTTGCAAGGCCCGGCCATCTCCCGCGCCTGACACTCTGGGCTGCCTCTAAATCTGCCTCACAATCTGCCTCACTTGTACTCCGTCCAATGCAAGACAACCACTCCGCAGCGAGAGCCAACCAGTCGCGTCACTAACGCCCTGCTATTGGACAGAATTGTTAGAATGTGGTGTCATCCCTACGCACGTCCAAATTAGGCCGATTAACACTAGTAGGTCCACGACGGCCGGGGTCCAGTCCACATGCACTACCGCCGATGTGACTTACATGAGCTTTAGGGCCATCCTGCTAAAATTCACGGTGAGGATAGAGGTGGGTAATTACCGTAATACGGTAATAGGCGACCTCTCCGTAATGTATGAACCAGGTAGTACCGTTTATTTCAGGAAGCGGGGCTTATAATTAGGGTTGGGGTTCTGATGCATCCTACGCAAAGAAGTATGACCTAACCCATTGCCATCCGTTGAATAACAAAAGTACATACATTTTGTGATATATTGGTGGCTTTGCATGCATTCATGTTAATATGGATACGGCTCCACTATGCTGTAATAAAACGGACTGAGCTGTAATAACGGCGAAAAGCGCTGTATTACGGATGTCAGTTATTACTTACCCACCCCTAGGTGAGTATCAAGATTAGACTCATTTTTTGGTTGCATGGCTTGCTTGCCTCATCAACTTTGTACTGTTCCATTCTGCACTGGTCCATTCTGTACTGGTCCATGCTGTATCCACTACTTTTCGCGCCCCAAATGCTGTACTGGTCGATGGTATACCGGTCCACGCCCTGTACCGGTCCGCCCAGTAATACTGGTCCGACTATGTGTCACCTGCGATCCACCAGGGACAATCCACCATAGATGCAACTGAAAAGAACTATTGCTAATAATCGAGCAGGTGTGAGCCTCATCGCCTGCAGGCGATCATGCGGTAGAAAGAAAAGTGATTGTTTGGTGGGTCAATATCTGGGGTGGTATATGGTAGAACGGTGCAATTGGATAAGCACGGTACATGACTGGGAAAGAGTGCTGCACCTTGATGTGGCAGGGCACCGAGTCGAGTCGTACATTCCTTTCCCCCTACCCATCCCTCTTTACCGCCAGCCAAGACCATATTTGTGTCCTCAGTGGAGAGTCTCGGGGCATTGTCGTCTTCCCGATCGAGCCCGAGTATCTCAAGGCTACCTGTTGGGGCGACGAAAATGGTCCTGCTGTGTTCATTTTCGTACCCCTAACAGAGGGTCCAATAAATTATCTCTTGTCTCGGAGGCTCCACGGAAGGAGTCCAAAATGGATCCCGCAGGTATAAGATTATAGTCCCCGGTGTCAAAGAAAGACCATTGCCGTACATAGCAATATCGGCCGCGCAAGCGCATGGAACAGCAGCGGAACTTGTCTGACGGCATATTGGCGGTCGTGGAAGCCGGTGCTGAGATAGCGCCGCACAAAAATGGAGGCCAATCGAAGTCTCGGCCGCAATGGCGAGGCATATAATATAGGCTCTCTAGCCGCGTCCAAGGCACTGCGCCCATTGCCGGGGTCAAGCGGCAAACTCTATTAAACTCATACCACCTACGTGGGCCTCCCAGATACCATCGTGGCAAATACCCTTAAAGTGCTTTAAGATCTTGCCCGAGATAACCGGAACTCAGGTGATATTGGCCTGGATAGCTTTCGAAATCTCGTATACGAAGCGTTTAACGTCTCGTTCGCAGTTATCGTGGATGAATCTCATGCTATGCATCCGAATCCGAATCCGACTACCATGGTAAGCGGTTTCGAGATAGGAAAGCGATAGGTTTGCAGCCGTAGTTTCAAAGCAGATATCGCCGTGAATTTTTAGACGCGGCAGCCCCTAGGTACCCTCGCTGCTCAAAAATTCAAACACGCTTCTATGCATAAACATAACTTCCGAGTTAACGAGCTCGCTGTGGTTGTGCCCATTCACAACCGCCAAATCAAACATCTCGCTCAAAGATTCATTCCCTTCGGATATCCACCCCAGAGGGCAGAGGCAAAGGGTATCCTGCATTTGGACTTCGAGGAGCCCGCCGCATTGACTTCGTAACCGTCCCTCCATGTCTCTACATCTCATCTCCAGCTGCGCTAAGGGAAGGCCATCGGCACTACTAACTAGGACATAACTGGCTACAAACGTGATCGATGGCGAAGGCGTCTAGATAAGCCAAGGAAAGCGAGAGCGTGGGGATCAGCAGTAATCTAGAGGCTCCCATCGATATCGTTGTGGAGATGCCACATCAAACGAAGCAGGAGCGCACCCTGCTTACGGTGACGAACCCGAACCTTGCTAAGCATATGGGAAAACATGGCGTTGAGCTCCTCGGGGAGTTCTCGGATGCGGTACCGTAGCTCAGCCAATACGTCGAAATCGGCCAAGCCTTCGAAGACCGATCGGCAGGCCAGATCTACCCAAAGAAAGACGCCAGATGCTTTCCCCGTAATTTCGTCTACAAGCGAGCGGGCATCTCCAAGAGACTCGATCTACAATCTGGCGAAGCCAGATGATGCGGACAATTCATGATACACGTAATGTCGAATATCGTCCCGAGTGAGGTCCTCAAGTCGTAGTTTTGGAAGGGCACAAAATGCATCGACGCACTCCGAGATAGGCCAACTGGACACAACGATCTTGATGGCTAAACCGTACGCAAGTTGTTATTAAGAAACGCGATTGCGGTGAAATAATTACCGGAGAACTCATCAAGACCATCAATGAAGAAGCAGATCCGCAGCGACCTTATTGATTGTGATTGAAGACTTTCGAAGGCTTCTCGAACCTCATCCGATGTTGGTAAGCATACCTTCGGCATCGTCGCCGGCGAACTGCTAATATCTTCCATTATCTACTACTAGAATTCAGGCAGCAACTCCGGTATCAAGTTTTCCTCGGCATACAGAATTTTTAAAAGAATCGCTCTCCAAAGCCCTTCATGAGTTCTCTGCTCCCAGCGTCCCATTCTCGCCTACCCAGGCTTCAAGACGTTGCTTGGTATTGGGATAGCTATGGACAAACTTCATCAGAATAGATTTACCGCTCCCAGCCTTTCCCGATATCCAGCACATTCCAGACCCAGAGCGCAGCCATTCTGAGAGATCATCCCATTTTATACCATCTCTTGGCGGTTCATAGATCCAATGTAGTGTTTTGAAATGCAGGGGACTGATGCAATCTCTCCTCCGCTTGTCCATTAACTTGAACTAGAGAGCGTCAAGAAGAAGTTTCTTGCCTAAGACCTCGTGAGAAGTTGGCTCCAGAGGACGTCCTACTGTCGCTTGCGCTATCAGCTACAAATTTGAAAGAGGCATTGTTGTTGTAATATCTTCGCGGCTCATCGATATCGCTATCCCAGCCGAGGCCTGCATCTTTCTTAGGGTTAGCCTAGGGCCAGGGTCTTGTCTTGGTCACGGGTTGACGGTTTGCATATCTGGCTTGGGAAATGGACCAAACTTTCGCCTTTTCGCGTCTCAGCTCTGTGACATCCCAATTGATCGGTGCAATGGCTGATTCGCGACCCCGCTCACGTGGCGGCAAAGTCCCAATGGCGATCTGATCTAACATCATAATCGAGTCGGTTCCAACCCACGACGGCGCGACACCCTGCTTCACGGCCTGGGACAAGCACGAGCCCATGCACAAGGACAAGCCCTGGTTCCCCGAAGTCCACCCAGACTGGACCCCGCTCACGCGCCCCGCCTTCTCTATCCAGATCTACGACGTGACGGTGCTGGCATCCTTTCCCGCGACGAGGCAGCCGAGTACGTCCGCTGCCGGGCCGACCGCCTCTGGCACGCTCATGTCTTCAACCACGGCGAACACCACTTCCGTCTCGACGTCTACGGGCTCTCCATCGACCCAAGCGCGTCGGACGAGGAGCGCGCCGCGCGTTGCGTGGGCCACCAGAAAAAAGAGGTGGCGGTAAGACTGGCGACGGGGAGGACCGACATATACGTGCCGCGCTACTGGGACGAGGACGAGTGGCACTGGGGCCGGACGGGGTTCCTGCGGGGCGTGATTGTCGTCGCCGAGCCGGATGATGAGAAATGGAACGACGGCGACGGGGGGTGCTGCCGGTTTGGTGGAATAGGGCCAGCGCCAGAGCCGTAGCGACGGACGAGTTGCAGGTCTGCCGCTTCACGCTTAGGGAGCTTCATGACAAGGCGAACGAGGATGTTGCGGACCACTTTCTCTGTAATATTAACTGGTTCTTTCTATACATGTTACGTTGGGGACGGCAGGCTTAGTGCCGAGCTGAAAAAAGCTGTAGAGGTGCAGCAAGCAGCTCGAGACGCCGCTCTCGAAAATAGATTCCTTCGGGCTATGCTTCAACTTCACAATGTGTCTCGGATGGAGATTCGCGTGTATCTCCCCAACCCCCCCTTACATCCGCGGGAAACTCTGGGAGCTCTAGCCCACCCACAAATCCGGATCCTCTGAAATCTGAGCCATCTCGACTCAGTGAGGAGATCAAGTTTCGAAGGTATGAAGAAGGACGCCATTAGATCCTGAAGCTTCACTACTGGGTTCGTTTTACAGGTATCGTACTTCTGTTGTAGACGTAAGACGGGATGTGCCCCCGGGTATCATTTTTCCAGTATCTAACTGTCTTAGTTTGCCCTATTCCTAGCTCCTAGGGTCCTGAAGAAGGAGAGAGTCTAACTCGACGCTAGAGACATCTTCCAAAACTGCGGCATGTATCCCCACTGAGCTTCAAGGCCATGTATACTAAGAACATCCTCTCTCCATCCTCCCATATACAGAGCCAAGAGACTGCCGGATGAATAGCACAACGCTACTTCAGTTAATAGATGAACAGGAGTGAGGCTCTTGAGAATGGGTATTTATAATGTACACAGTGAAGTACTAGTTCCATTACACCCAAGCCTTTTATTGCATCGCGTCTGTAACAAATCCAGAGCTCTCTCTCTCTCTCTCTCTCTCTCAAAGCCTACGGAGTGTGGACTAGTGTGTCGTATTACCATGTCTACATCCCACTTTTGTACGTCCATTGGACCGAATCACCAGGCTCCCCTTCCTCTAATGCTCAACGTGTCCCTAGAAAAATGATTAGACCGTCGACGACGAGCAGCTTCCAAATGGGCTTTTCCCCGACTAGTATATACTGCCGATTCTCCGAACAGGTACATTGATACGCAGCGAAAAACACATCATCATACCGGTTGGGGGCCGATTCGACTTTGGTGGCCAAGTGTGTGGAGCGGCATTTGGCGGTAGGACGCTGTGGTGCGAAACAAGTGATGTCTGATGCGCCGAGAATAACGACTTGGTTCAAATGGTCACCAATAATAATACATACACGTTGGTTTTTTTTTTCTTTCTTTTTTTCCCCTTTTTTCAAAGGTGTGATGCAGTCTGTACATGCTGGAACGCGGGACTCGCTTTCGTATAACCTTCCGAGCGAGCAACCAACATGTCGTAGTAGCACTTGACAACTTCCGGATGTACTAAAATTTCCCAGTCCATGTGCACAAGAAACTCGTTCACTAGACACTGAAGCTCAGATCTGGAAAGACCCCCAATTCGAGCATATGTCGCCATATCGTAGATCGTGTCCGACCATTCCTTCATTACCACCACTGTTGCGGTAATAAGGAATCGATGGACAGTGAATGAGTTGATGAGAAAGTCGCAATATCTGGCGCTCAGACGGTCTGCATAGTAGACAATCACGAGAAGAAGGGCGGGAACTAGCCTAGCATGGGTGGCGAGGCGAGAGACGTAGGCTCTGATGGGAATTCCTGGCCGTAACCTAGATTGCGGAGATCGACGGTGAGCAAGAATTTCGCGTTTCATCGAGAAATCACCGGCACCGAGACCAGTCATTCCGTACCTTGAGTGGAAGGGCGTAATTCCCCTGCAGACCCGTCTAGTCGTACAAGTATTGGTTGCGCCGTCGTCATTGTGGAGGATAGTATCCTCAATGAGCGTGGAGACCATCGTAATCATATCTTCCAGGCCGCAATCCTCGTACTGAAAAGGCAAGACCTTTGAAGGAGAGGGGAGATCAACGCCGCTCTCATCAAGACCGGCGCCGTCCAGCTCAAAGACATCATCTTCTGTCGTGGCAGGGGACCCCGATAGAGATGTCCCAAAAATGAAGGCAGCTTCATGCGGGAGCATGTCGGTTGTGAGGCCGTGGCCGTGGGGGTCCCAATCTATTACCGCGTGGTGCTGGATCAAGGGCGTTTCTCGGGCCAAGGGCGCCGGAGGGCAAACTACCCCTTGAGATACCATCGAGCCTTGCCAGGGTCCCACATAAACACCCGGTTTTTGAGTGCCAACCTACTGAAGTATGAATGATAGCTTTATTTTTTCGCCATTTCGAGCTGATCGCCGGCTTTTAGAGGGTGAATGGGGAGGCGGTGGATTTAAGACCTCGTGACAGAAAAAGAGACTCAGGAATCCGATTCCCAATCAATGCATGACGAGGCAAGCTCGGAATGGGTCCGGCAGTCTGCTGAACCACCACTTTCTACGCGTATAACATTTCTCAATATCCAGTAAGTCCCCGATGGCTCTAGACATGGGGGGTGCCTAACCCGATAGCCCGATAGCCTGGGGCGAAGCACACCAAAGCCCTGAAAATGGCCCAGGGGATATCCAGTAAGATTGGCCAAAAAGCGCACAAGTCCTGTGGACTGGATTGACTCGATCCGAGACATGTATGTGGATGTGACAGGCTGAGGCCTTGACCCAGATACACAGGAAAAGACCGGGTATGAGGAATGTTCTAACGCGAACGGTCAATGCGGGGCGTGAATCCTGGGCCTGTCACTTTGTTCCGGTTCGGGTGAGGTTATTGAGCCTGCGATGGAAAGGGTGTGCTGCGACCCACTGAACCACGGGCTCATTGCACTCACATTGCGATGTGACTGGCCAGCACTTATTGGCGAGGACTGTAAGCTTAGAAAACCGGTAGATTAATACCGGGGTTGCCCCTTGGTGACTGCATCGTAGAACATCTAGGGGAGGTATGAGCGCGGGAATCGGTACAGTCGCTGTGTTCTTAGCCGGATATTCATTTTGTGAGGCAGGACGAAGTAGGAAAATCACAAATGGGAGTGTGTCAGTCCAGGGCCACTATTGGCCAGAGAATCAGAGCTGGGTTCCAGAAGGCTCCCCCTTTCACCCGCCTGTGCGTGCTCAGGAGTAATACTTGTCATTTCCGATATTGATCTGATTGGCCTGACGACAATAGTAGTCGCACTTATTGTCTATGCGTATCTCTGGATTGCTCTGAGGCGGCCTCGAATACTTGTTAGTGGCGGTCCGGCGTGTTGGGGCAAATCTGGATGCACGTCTGTACGAGTTGTTGCTGAGGTTGCTCAAGTGTCTGATGGTACGGCTTCAACCTTGTGTGAGTTGTCCTTCGATATGATAGAAATATCCGCTTCTTTCGGGCATACCATAATAGAGCCAGCCTATCAAGCACTCCTACAAGCGCCAGAACCAGCTCTAGAGGCACATTGGTTGTTGTCCTCTCTTGCCTCGTCCGTGAGACTGTCCTCTGGCTCTGCGACCCGATTTACTGAATTGACGCGCTCCTTCATTTACGGATCACTACGAACTGCAGCGCGGACACTCGCCTTTCCTTACTCCCCCTTTGCAGTAAACGTTGCCCAACATTCGATTTCCCACAGGAACTATCCGTGATATCTAAAAGACAGGATAGAAGAAGAAAAGGTTTTGTATTGGACCCTAGGTAGAGACTGTGGGTTCTAATATAGGAAAACCATTCTTCTTAAATATTTATCCCGCTGGGCGCACGTCGCCCTGGATCACGCTGGATCACGATTGTCGACCGTGATCAATGGTGATCCCACCCCTAATCGCGCAGCTAGTTCTATTCCTTAGTGATTCCGAGGGTCTGCTGATAGTGGCGGGGTCGACACAACCGTAACCGCGTCAGGTCGTTATGTGTTGCTATACGGGTTTAGGACCGGAGTTCAGTGATGAGTTTCTCGATGCGGCGACGGATTTCGTCGCGGATGGGTCGTATAACATCGAGGCCTTGCCCGGCGGGGTCATCGAGTTGCCAATCGAGGTAGCGCTTGCCGGGGAACAGGGGGCAGACGTCGCCGCAGCCCATGGTGATGACGACGTCGCTGGCTTGGACCGCATCAGTGGTGAGGACCTTGGGCTTCTGGCTGGCGAGGTCGATGCCTTCTTCGCGCATAGCTTCGATAACGATAGGGTTGATGGAGTCGGCCGGGGCTGATCCGGCGGAGCGCACTTCAATGGCGTCGCCAGCGAGGTGGGCGAGGTAGCCGGCGGCCATTTGGGAGCGGCCGGCGTTGTGGACGCAGACGAACAGGACGCTGGGTTTGTCTGCCATTCTCTTTCTGGTGGTCAACCGGGCGGTCGTATTGAAAGGGGTTGTAAATATATGGTGGCGATCTTGCGGATGGACGGCGGGATCAGCGTTTTTGGCGTCGCTAATGGGCCAGTTAACCGTAACACTTAAATGAGGAAGACGGCGACAACTTGCATGCTGTACTTTGTAGAGAGGCCCCCCATTTTGTAGTGGAGTGGTGCGCATATTTTTTGTCCTACTAGAACCGCCAACTGGGGAAACTGTCACACCCCGGATCCCATTGGCTAAGGTAAAGGAGAGAATACTTATACAGGGACTCACTCTTGTCGCTCACCGTTTAGTCTCCAGAATCAAGTCTCAGAGAGCCCGGCACTAACCGGAAATGGCTTTACAGAACAACTTACAGACATCTCCACTCAACAAAGAAGGGCGCATGGTTTAGTGGTATAATTCCTCTTTAGCATAGAGGCGGTCCCCGGTTCGATTCCGGGTGCGTCCAGGAGATTTCAATTTTGCTACTCTTTTCTACGTTCCTCCTTCTTATTCGTGATTGTATTTGTATTTTCTTTTATTTTGTAGCTCTCCTTCCCCCGCCCCCCCCGGTTCCGTCTTTTTATCTTGTTTTTTTGTCTCTTCAGACTGTGACAACGACGGAATTGACAATCTCGTCGTGGACAGTCGGTGAGTTCAAGCTCGATAATATAAAGAATCGGGGGGGAAGCTGTAACTTCCGGAGGCGTTTCACTTAAAGAATCTCATTGGGGCCAAAGAGGTATTTAATACTCGAGGCTATAGGGGACTTAAAAAACAAGTCGGATATTCCAGACGGAGTCAGAAGGAACTGAAGAAGACAGATTCCAGAATTGTCCCTCGACAATTATGGAAAGACTTTTAGAGAAAGTGAATTACAACACTCTGCAGGGCGATGGCCGACCTTATTCAGTAGCCTCTCGGGGCTTTCATTTCTTTCGTATTTCTTCCTGTTTCTCTCCCCCGTTTTATGTTCTGTCTCGCTTCTCGTTTTCTCTTTTGGGATTTCGATGATCATGGGATGAGCCCTCACAGCAGAGAGGATAGCAAGCAGGTAGCAGGTGGTCAATAAGTTCAAGCTCAGGTATAGAGAAGAGGGTGAGATGGGGATGGTCAACCATCTCAAACTTATCCACGGCAGCACATGATTGTTCATCGCCTCACCAGCTGAGTACGAATCTAATCCCACGCGTTATTTGTGTTCGGTGGGCGGGACACTTCAATAGCTGCCCTTGTTTGGGGAGAGGGAGTCTCCAGCTGGGGCAATGCACATGTCAAAGTATAATTATGTCACTCTGATCTAGTATGCCATACTTCATTCGCCTATTCCTTAAGACTTTTAAGACTAATAAGTCTACTAGTATTGAATAGGCCTGTTACTTGGTCTTGGCCCACTGCGTCACATGGTCGAGTCCAGTACACAGGTATAAAACCTCGCCGATCAGTGTTGGGCCTCAAAAGAGAAATTAGTAAAGAATATACCAGAAAGTAAATCCACTATTCCCTGCTTCCAGCTCTATCTATTCTCAACTTCTAGACGTATAAATCACCATGTTCGGACGCCTTGCTGATAAGACGGTGGATTCGCTGTTGCTGGTGCTCCTGGATCGCCGGAGGCGGCGGCGAGCTGAAGGTACTGAAACTAGTCTTGAAGAAAGATTGAGGGATGAAATTCGCTCCGGAGGGAAGACTGGAACGGCGGATAAAGAAGAGACGCGCAACGGAGACGACCCTCCTCCGTACAGTCCCCCACAGCTCCGAAGCCTTCCGCGCCAAGAATCCCACCTGCCACTCCGAGAGTCCCGCCCACGAGGCCATCGGCCGCGAGAATCTCACTTGCGAAGCCACGGCGGCTGGTCCATGGGAGGGCCTCTGAGTATAGAACTGTTTCCCATTCAGTTGACTTTGGGAATTGTGCAAAGCCTTTCCCCTGCCGACCGAGCCGCACTTGCGCTCGCCAGCCACACGTTGATGCGGAAGCTGGGTCGCGGCTCCTTTATCCTCGACGCGGATTCCCGGTACAACCTTCTAACGCGCCTAGAAAGGGACGGCATACTCCCTTCGCACATACTCTGCCCAACCTGTCAGATCTTCCACCTCCCCTCCCTCCCGAGGCACTGGGTGCAGGCTGGCCACAACAGGATTACCTGCCCAATCGCTGATTGGGAGAATCAAATGTCGAGGTGTGAAGAGATTCCTAAACACTTGCGGCGACTACCATTTTCATTTAGCACAGTGGCTGCTATTCTAAGATCGATAAGGCACAATTGGGGGATCTATCCTCGAGGCATGCTCTCCGATAGCGTGACTTATAGACTCGGAGATTCCAGGCTGACCCTGATCGCCCATCGTAAACAAGATCCCCACATCATCAATGGTCGTATGATGCTCAAGACCCAGACAGAGCTGTATTCCCGGGCCTGGGGCAGGTGGGCAACGATCACTCCAAGGGGTATCAAGCAGATGATGAGAAATCGCCCCGAGCTGCGGTATATCTGTCCGCATTTGAGCTGGATCTCTGTATTCGAATTTATTTTCCAGAACATGGACATCCTACAAGGCTACAGAGGAGAGAACCATTCAAATCCCTTGTCAAACGATCTCCCTTGTTCTAGGTTGTGGAGTAAAGAGGATGTTCACGACGCGCTACGCGGTTACATTGCCTGCGCGCACTGTTATACAGATTTCCAAATTCGGAAACAGGACAGCGAAGAGCGGGGAATGGAGGCAGTGGTTCTGAAGACGCGGCATAATTTCGGCGGCGGCGAGAGCGTCGACAATGCCTGGTGGACCCCGTTTGTTACGTATGACCAAGATGTTGCGAATTCGCCGCCGATGGTACTGGAAGAACGGTATGTGGACCAGTTCGGCCGGCCGCAGTGGTCATTAGGGCTTCGGCCTCAACTATCAGCCCGTCGTCAGTGAAAGAGTTGTCTAGGCAGCCTTAACTACCGGCGGGAAAGGGAGCTGAGTCTGCATCGTAGTATGTCTGCATCGTGGTATACCGCATCAGTCTGGAAGTGAATACCGGAGGTGTACGTCTCCCAAAATGCCAGGAGAAGTCTTTCGTTTCATTCCTCTCACCTTCTCCAAGAAGGACGAATTTATGACACACGAATCCGTGTGGGCTATGGGCGTTTTCCTCGTTGGCAGTTTCCAGTTTCTAGTTTCTACCCAGATCCTCTGACGTGTCTACGGAAGGCGTGTTTCGATACTTTGGCAGGTGCAGGCCAACATGTATCAACTCTTATCGGTCGCAGATCTTCCCCCAGAACCGTCCTCTGCATCGATGTGGCCTCTCCCCTTCCTTCCATTGTGGTCTCCAGGCACGTGAAGCGCTCACTCGGCAGGCAGAGTCTATCCACGAACTACCAAAATTCAGACCCATTCCTTCCTTCAACGCTATCCTGAACAACCACCACTGCGATCTAGACCATCCATGCCTCTCTTTCCTTTCTTTTTCTTCGATATGGCTTCGCACCCTGATACCCATTCCATTTCGCTTCCCCACAGCCTTCCTAGTGGTTCCGGTTCCCAGCTCCAGTCAATCATTAATTTACCACTGTCGACGTACGCTACCAACCAACAAGGGGAAAATGGCATGGACGATGCCTTCGTGGTCTCGGATATCGAAGTCCCCGAAATGAGGAGGATAGCCCAACGTCTGCCCAGCGATGAGCCCCTCCTCCGCACATCCTCGTATGGCGACAATGGCCTCACTCAAGAGGATATTTATGGGTGGGCTGCCGCCTGCCGATTTTGTCGCTCCCCATGGTCCTTCAAGAAAGGGAGGCTCGCGCCCACTCCTTCCGCCCCCGACCGACACCGACGACGTTCCAAGAGCCACGCACCCCTGGGAGGCCTACGACAATCTCCTCGCCATCTGGTCGGCCGTCCTCGCGCTTGACGCCACTTGCCTAACCGTCATCCCACTCGGCACCCACCGCCTCCACATGTTTAGCTACGAATGCGCCAGGGTGAGCGCCTGTCTCGCAACCGGCATAGCCATCCGATACTCAGTCGCTCGGTCCGACAACGTACACCACCCGGACGTAGTGTGGTACCGCTCCTAAGAGAAGGCGGTAGACCACGCGATGCGGTGGCTGTTGGGCGTATCACTTTTTCTGTTGTTGGTCGGACTCTTCCTGTCGAAGTCCTTCCCTGTGCTTGGTTTGTCCGTACTCATGGTCAGCGCCGTCGTCCTTATTGCTGTTCTCTGGAATGATACCGTTCTTCGTATGGTCTTTTTTTATTATACGCGTCGGCGGTGAGAAAAGAGGACGGAGGTAATTCTGTTGGGCGCTTTGCCTTGCCACATCAGTTGGAAGGAAAGATAAGGGAAGGTTGGGATCCACGTTCTATTAGTCCCATTAATCATCGACTACTTCCTTGTTTGGTTTTGCCTACTTCTCCTCTGCTCAAGTGCCCATGACAGTTCCTGCTGCCATCCGAGAGTAGGCAGGGGCCAATCTCTCCGCTCCAGACCGACACCCGCGATGCTACCTGCCTTGCCGTAATTCCGATCGGCCCCCGGGAACTCCACACCATGCTCCTCTCCAACTGTAAGCTTGCTAGTTTTGAGCGCTGGGTTGTCGTGTACTTTCCTCCCCTGCGGATGAACACGGCAAAGGAAAGTGCATCTTGGTCACCGCCTCCCCGTGACCTGGTCGCGGCCATGTTGTGACACATGGCCGAGACTGAGAGGTAGAATGCCTGTGAAGAGATCGCTAAGGGTGAAGATTCTGAAGACCCAACCCCTGGAACATTGCGGAGCTTTGATGGCTGCTTTCAGAAAGATGAGGGGAACTGGTGTTTGGATTGTGACTTTTTAAAATCCGTGCTCTTTGATATTTTAGGACTTGACATACTTCCCTTACGTTTCGCCGAACCCAAGGTCACTGAGGACCTTCGCCGACGAGGGCGAATGTTCTGGGACTGTTGAGCGCAAAATTGCATCAGTTACCAACACGACAGCACCCTTCGAGCGCAAGGTTCGGTAAGTGCCAGTCTGGCTATCCGATGAGTATAAGTCAGCTAATGGGGTGGAACTAAGGCAAGAGGCTCGATACATGATCGATTACAAGACGCTCGAGCAAATGCACCCAACGGATCCCGATGATCCGAAGGGTCACACACAGGGAAAACGAGACGACCTTGGACCAGGAGCTTAGAAAGCCCAGAGTATCTCGCTCTGGCGACGGCTTTATCCTCTGCCTTCCTACCAAACTTCCTGGATATCATATGCACAAGAAGGAATATCCAGACATGAGTCTCACCAATAAACTGTGGCTTGTCTTGCGCTTTGAAAAGTCTTCATGATAAAGTTCTCATAGAATTCTCTTTACATAGTTCAGAGTGTTCTCGCTACAGAGTATACCTGAACCCTTCTCTACCCTCACACAAAGTCTCTCCCTTGTCAGCTCTCTGATTCTGCCCTCGAAGCAACAGCATAGTTATAATGGCAGTTACTACAGCAGCAACATTAATCGCCATGACTGCAACAAGGCCAGGAATATAGTTGGGTGCGTCTTGCTGGCCTGCTCAATGTCAGTAGTCGTCCTTCCAGGGGGCGCACGAATTGGGGACTTACGAAATACCATGCTTGAGTAGATTCCACCTATACCGCTGATGCTGACGACCAGTCGAAATGGCTCGTCGAGAATCGCCCACAATATTGTTGGCTTGCCAAGCCAACGTTGTCACCACAAGACCGTTCGCACCGGCAACTCCAAGAAAGGTGCCAATATATCTGGGAGTGGGCTGGTCAATAAAGCCAGTCATGCAAAGCCCGATAATGCCGATCAAGCCCTGGAAGACAATGAATGGCCCTCGGAGCTTCACCTTGTCGGCGAGCCATGAAATAGACATGGCCTCGACTACAGAGAAGAGCTGCGGAGGCGTGCTCAGAATGAAGGACAGCTCGAGCGAGTAGCCAAGGCCGCCTCGAAGGATGATTGGTAGGAAGAACAGGAAAGCGTATACTCCCACAGCGCCAGCCATGTACATCAACGAGAAGGCCCATGGCTTCCAGTCAGCAGCCGTCTTGAGAAATACCTTCATTGTCACTTTCTCTCGCTCTTCGGGGCCACGGTCGGCTATGAGTCTAGCTTTGACGAATGCTCTTTCTTCGGCCGTGAGGAACGTGTTGGAGTCCGAGTCGGGGAAGTCGACGATAATGAACCATGAGCCGATGCCGGCGACGACCGTGATGGCACCCTCGATGATGAAGATCCATCGCCATCTATGCTGGTCAGTAGCTAAACATTAGACCGTGGGAATTGCACTCACCCTTTATAGGGGTGATGATTCGAGATTTGGATGAGACCGTATGCGAGGATGTTCGCAAAAGCAGACAGCGCAGACGCGGTCAGGAAGAATCCTGCCATCCGCTTTTGCACCTCGTACCGGACATACCACGACGACACGAGATAGACGCAGCCTACGAGTGTATCAGCAAGATGCCACAGCGCATTCCATACAATAACTGACCTGGAAAGAAGCCAGCCTCAAAGACACCAAGTAACGATCTCAGCACGGCAAAACCCTGCCAGTTATGAAGAAACCCGATACCCAAGCGAGACAAGCCCCCAAGCAAAAGCAAGAAAGGCCAGCCAGTTCGCCGCGCCGAGTTTATGGATGAAGGCATTACTCGGGATCTCGAAAAGGATATAGCCAATGAAGAAGACCATCAAGCAGATGGAAGCACGGCTGCCCTGGTCGAGCCCGAGGTCTTCATCCATGCCGGATATACGAGCAACGGCGACATTAGATCGGTCGACGAGAGCGATAGTGTAGAGACAGCCGAGGATGGGCAGCAGCCGCCAGTCGATCTTGCGGATGACTCTCTTCTCGAATTTCGCGTCGTGGAGGTCTTGCTCGTGGCCGCCGTTCTCGACTTGTTCGACGTCTTCCTTAGCCACGTTGATCTTAGTGTCGTAGGGAAGTGTCTGTTTGTCGTCCATGGACATTGAGGTGGTGCCAACTGGGTGATGAATAACTGGCAGACTTTACCTTGATCGGAAAGTGGATCGCAATCACGATTTAAGTACCCGCTCGAAATAGACAAACAAGGCTTTGACCAGATAGGAAGGGGAGCTAATGACGCAGGGGTCGCTCACTTCCCCGCTCGGGAGATCGTTGGTCTGAGTGGCACGCTCCGGTCGTCCTCCAGGAACCCTTGGCAGTCTCAACAACATGGCTTGCAGGATTCGAGCTGGTGGGCCTGGGAGAAGAAACATTGGCCACGGGGCTTAGTCGAGTCACCATTGGCGAACCATAGCCGATGGAAGAGCCCACCCCCGGCTTAACTTTGCGGGGCCCCAGATTTGCCGCGTCTCTGGAAGCTTGATCACCCGTCTTTCGTCCCTTTCCCTGCTCTTGTCATCATTCGGCTCTGGTCACATGGTCAAACATAGACCCTCTCAGCCAGCGGCAAGGAGCCTCGAAGCGTTTGTCCAACGGCCGGAAAAGAGGCACTGCCTGTGAGTGCTGTAACAGGTGGAGAACAAGATGTGATGGGCGGATCATTGGTGTGCCTTGTTCCGGCTGCAAGAAGAGCAATAATTACGCTCAGTGCACTCTCATTCAGTCGAAAGGCAAGAGGTAGAACCCCCACGATCCAGCCCCATGATGTTCTCTTCTAACCCTTCCTTTTTCACTTAAGGGCCCAGATGGACAATATACCCATCGAACCAATGGTGAATCACGTTAAAGTCCGGTAAAGTTCAATGTTGAATCACCAACTCCCACGTCGATGAGCGATTTGCTCCCTACTGCAAGTATAGGATATGCCGTCGAATTTAATGACAATGTCGTCGGCTCAGGCTATGCAGACCGGAGTGACGGCCTTCGTCTTTCTGACAATGAATCGCCATCAGTTATTAAAAAAAGCTACAAAAAATATTTTTTTAACTTAATTATTAAGTATTATTAATTTAATTAAGTTTTGTATTTTAAATATTTTTTATATATTATATTATTTTTATAATATTTATTATTTTTTATCATAGTTACTATTTTTAATAGTTATTTTTATTATATTAAAAATATTTTTCTTATAATATTGTGACGGTGAAAAGGGGGATATCAGTAAAAAGGGGGACATTCTCACATAACTGCAAAGGATAGGCCGGAAGAACATTATTCCTTACCATGAGCCATGACCATAGTTATTTCTGCTTAATGGAGGATAAGAACAGCTGCCAGCCGAATTCGATATTCGAGCTCGCGCTTACCCTTATGAGTTCGACCAGCGATAATGGCGAGCGCGTAGATCTTGCCGAGTATAAAGCAAGTGAGTTTTACGCTCGTACCCGCCAGGCGTTGTTGGACTGGACATGCAGCCGCGCTATGCCCAATTGGGCCACCAGCACGGGACCGTAATTTCCCCGAATCTATCTGTTCCAGCGGGACAGCATGCTCCCAAACCGATCCCTTCTAGATCCTTGCATCTTCATCTTTTTTCACTATCAGTAACTCATTTAGTTCTCTTCCATATAAGATCTCGATTGGTTCACAACAACCTTGTTTTCCCGCAGACGTTATTTTCTTTTACGGTATCGGTACTTTCGGTAATCGGAAGCATGAAAGAGTAACAACAATGCCTCGGGTTGCCTGTAAGGAATGCCGGTTAGTTCATACATATGTACCCGTACTCTCTCCCCCCTCTCTCTTTCTCCCTCTCGCTCTCTTGTGGCTACAGTTACAAACTAACATTTGACGGACTTGGTTATCAGTGAACGCAAGCTCAAGTGTATTGTGCCAATCACGGGACAAGACTGCCATCGTTGTAGCCACCGCAATGTGCCGTGCTCACTTAACCCCAGGAGGCCTCGACCACCAAGGACAAGCCCTATTGTTTCTGTCCTTGAGGCCTCGGCCTACTCGGTCGAGCCAGCACTTCCGGCTCCAGACAGTAACGGAGGTCAGCACATGATCCAGGCACCGCTGTCGAGGGCCGCCGTCGTGGGCGGGACAGTCCCCTTGGCAAGCTATCATTCGGCTCTGGATGTCGGCTCCGGCTCCGCAGCTGAGCTGCTTCGCGAAGGAGAGTTGACTCAAAGTCTTCTCCTCCTGTACTTTGACAACTTTGGAGACATTCACTTCATGTTCGATCAAATCAGCCTCCTACGCCAGTACGCCTTGGGCACCGTACCCAACGTCATTTTGCTCTCCATGATGGCACTGGGAGTCCGGTCGGTCAGCCCACCCGCCTCTTGCATAAATAATGCAGTACAACACTCTTCATAATGACTGACAGCAGTTGCTTGATACCTATAGCTACTCTCATGCCCCTTTTCGGGACCCTAGTATGCGGATGCATTGGGGAGAGCCGTTATTCCAAGAAGCACGACAGCTGCTCAAAGACGGCTTTGATGACGGTTCTCTTACCATGGCACAAGCCTACGTGTTGCAAGCTACCTATCACCTGACCTTTGGAGGCACTCGGAAGGCCTGGATCTACCTGAGTACGTCCTCCCCCTCAATTTTTTTCTTTTTTGAAATTAATCCTGGGCCGTCCGTCCCCTAATTCACGCTAATGGACAACGCCCCAGACAATGCCCGTATTCTGTTGAGCTTGCTGAGACTCCCTGCCGGCCTTCCGGAGGATGAGAGCGACCCGCTTCAAGCGGAGATGGCCAGACGCCTAGTCGCTACGGTAGCCTTAATGGATCATCTCTTTCTGCCCTTTCTCGACATCGAACGCCCGATGATCCGTCTCAAGCCCCTGCCTCAGTTGTTCAACTACGACGAGTTCGATGCACTGAGAACGCGCTCACATAATGCGTCCCCTGCCTCGGCCGGGCCGAATCTGATGCAGGAGATTCTCGTCCTCTCCGACACCTTCTTCAATGCCTGCAGGAACTGCAAGACGCAAGGCTACCCGCAGGAGGAGCGTTGGTCATCTGTCGTCTCATCGCTGGCGACCTGGCGAGAACGGCTGCCGGGCGAGCTCGAAGACTCGGATGCCAATCTCGAGACGCACCGGCTAAAGTTCACACTCCGGCCGTTCGTCTTCTTGCACATGCTCTACCACCACACCTGGCAGCTCGTATTACTCGACCAGCTAGAGTGGACGACGGAAGTCCTGAGAGATGGTACCTCTCCCTCGCACCCTCAGGTTCTTGTTCTTTATGACCACGCAGCTTGGGTAGCCGATATGACGTGCCGCCTCTGGGAGGTGGCTCGGCTAGACCTACACAACAGTTGCTTCGGCCTGATTGTCATCATCACGCAGACTATTCTCGTACATCGCCTTCTAAGTTCGTCAGAATTGGAAGAGAAAATCGCGACGCAGTCCAAAATGCGCAGTCTCCGAGACTGCATGATCCGGGTCAAGGACCACTGCAGGCTCTTCAATTGGGTCGTAGGTCCTCTGTTCTTGCTATTTATCTTCGGTTCCCGTTGAACCTGTTTCTTACTGACTCAATAAATGGTTTATAAGTTTCACCAATCTGAGTGGCTACTCAGAGTCTGCGGACAAGAAGGGTTCTGGAAGAACGACAAATGGACCACCGTTCTCAACGACCAGCTCAGGACGCTGGGCACCAGATTCGAGCGACTCAATCTGCAGACTGCCGGTAAGCCAAGTCGTTTTACGTGCATGCGACTCTCCTCCGAGGGGAGGACGCCGACAATGATGAGAAATGCTTCCCCCTTCCCTCTCTCTCCTGGTCTAAACTCCTTCTAGCCCGCAACTCCTGCTCACAATCCGCCATGGCTAACTAATTTAACACTACCAAAAGGGCGGCGAGGGGATCTCGAGAGTCTTGCCGATGCGCAATCGCAGGCAGACCATTTTCAGAACGCTCTTCCGAGGATTCTAAGAGAAGGCTTCATCTCTCCGGCATACGGTGAGTGACGTGACGAGGGGTCAGAATCGCCATCCGCGGGCTAGGACGGTAGCGTATCATCACTCGGCGTCCTGCCGTAAAAACAACTGCGTCGGGAAATAAATAGTCTCATTTTTTATAATAGTAATTTAACGACTTGATTTCATATATAATGTCCTTGTATCTGATAGAACTATTATAACCTCTCTGAATTGACTGGATATACGCCGTGTTTGAGAAGTCCCGTAAGCTTCATCCTCGAAATATATTATTGTGAAATTATTATCTATGGAAGTCGAAGTATCCCGAGATATTTTCCACAAGTTTCGCGTCAAACCTCTTGGCTCAGCAGCTCTCTGATTCTCCCCGTGATCGTAGTCTTTTTTATTCGGGCCTACTTCAAACCATCAAAACGCTCGGCAATAGCCTCGAGGGACGGACCCTTGGTCTCAACGAAGAGGAAGTAAACGCAGGCGGTCTCCACGCAAAGCCACCCGACGTAGACAAAGTAGTACTTCCAGCCCAGCGCCTCGAGACCAATCGGATTGAGGAGGGTATTGACAAAGTTGGCTGATTTCCCAGCGAACATGAGAATCGAGAAGCCCTTGGCGCGGATATGGTACGGCAGGACCTCAACCGGGTATGAGTACAGGAGCGCATTGTAGGCCAGATTGTAGAACGTGTAGAAGACGAAGAGCATGGCAACGACGCCGTGGCCGGCCGAGACGTTGTCGGACTCGTTAAACAAGCCGGCGCACAGGGTTTGGCTGGCGAACACGGCAAGCATGCCGGCAGTCGAGATCATGAATTGCGTGCGGCGGCGGAGCTTCGCCGTCAAGAAGGCGGACCCGATTGCTGTGAACCAGTTCCATATCATCAGGCAGCCGTTGATGATGTTCTTGTCCCGGTTGTCCGTAATGCCAACAGTGTCGAGGACTCGGGCGAGGTAGTACCTGTAGCGTAAAGTACGATCTCGTCAGTAAGAAGGAATTTGTGTCTAGGTATATATGTGCCAGGATGATGGACAACAAAGAATGATGCAGCATGAAACTTACGAGACAAGTCCATTTCCGGACCATTGAGAGAAGAGCCCAAGCATGACCACAAGGACCGCCCTCCGCCGGTTACCCTTGGACGACCAAAACGCCGACCAAGACGTCTTGTTGGCCATATCCGCCTCGATGACGGTCTTGATCTCCTGGAAGGCGAGGGTGACAAGCTCGCTGTTCTCGTCCCCGTTGGCGTGATACTTGACCAGGATGCTCCTCGCCTGCGCCGCGCGGCCCACGGCGATAAGCCAGCGTGGCGACTCGGGCAGGAACCACACGCCCACGATCTGTACAAACGCGGGCGCCACCTGGAGCAGCGACGGGATGCGCCAGGCCCACTCGTTGGGCATGGCGAAGGTGCCGAACGTCACCCAGGCGGCCAGGATGGCGCCGGCGTAAAAGGTGGTCTGGTAGAGCGAGGTGACAACTTGGCGGTCCTTTGGGTGCGCGAGCTCGCCGATAAGGATAGGCGCGTAGGTGTTACAGAAGACGAGGCCAAAACCGATGACGAATCGGGAGACTAGGAACATGGCGACTTTCTAGATGTCAGACAAGATTCCTGAAACCGAAGCTTGCGCCAAGACTACTAACTGTTGACGGCGACACCTTGCAAAATACCACCAATTGCCATGATGGTTGAACCAACAATGATGCCGATTCGACGGCCCCAGCGATCACCCACCATGCTGATGAAGGGCGTGGCAACGATGGCGCCTAGCATGAGGATGGCAGTGAGAAGACCCAAGAGTGCGCCTCGGGGGTTATCAAAATCTGAAGAATTTAAAATGAAAATTAGTTAATACTACTGAAAGATTCTCTTGGGAAGAGTGTTTTTGCTGACAACAAAAGCTGCGGGCAGGGCAGCGGGACACCCACATTCTTGCCAGCTTCCCACAGCCTGTAGGCCATTCATCATGGACGCGTCGAATCCCAGGGTGAGGGCTGGGACTAGGCACCCAGGAATCATCAAGATGTAGAGCTTTCGGAGGTTGGCATTTCGATAGAAAGGGGGTGCTTCCTTGGCCAGTTGTTGGACACGAGCGTCCAGGTCGTGGGGCCGTATTTCGCTGCTGGTACGCGAAAGCTCTGCCTTTTCGACGACGCCGTCATCTTTGCTAGGGCGTTCCACAGCCCCCATGGTGATTTGGAGGCGGATAGTTGCAGAAGATGAAGAAGGAAGACTGACGTGGAGGTGCTGTCAAGGTTGGGAAGCGGCTTGGAGAGCGAATGAAAGAAGAAGGAGCTGACTTAGGCAAGTCGACTTGCACACTTGCAGTCGGTGATCTTCTCTCTGGGAAGAGGAGCGAGGGGGGAGGGGAACTTGTATTTATACTTGTCGAGAGACCTAGGACCGAAAGACCTGACCTGATATCAGCAGACGCGACCGGAAATGTGCCACATCTAGCCCAACAAGTGGCGTGAAGAAAATAATCAAAGACACAAGAACGAAGAGGACTTGACCCGAAGACGGCAAGGGACCATCACTGACAGGAGAACGCGCAAGTCAAGACCCTAGTCAACCACCCCCCCCCCCCCCCCCCCCCCCCGGGGCCAAAACCCAAAAACCCCCAAACTGGCCATTTCCGCTTTCCAGGATAATTATGCAATTTTTATTTAGGTATACTATATGAACTGTGCATAATTTTGCTTAAAAACAAAAGTGGCGGGTTGGAAGGTTGGCCGGTTGACTAGGGTCTTGACTTAAACGGCTATTCTAGGCCCAAAAAAAATCCCTATTCGGCATGTTACTCATATAGCTCAGTCGTAGACTCTAACAACCCCCGATGCATGACCACATGGAATGGTTCATAGACTTGGACGCGCCCAGGGTCCAAGCCGGCCTTGCTAGACCTTGTCTGGGGAAGGAAAAAAAAATTCGCCGGGGAGCCCCGGGCGGCGACGCGGGGACGCGGGGTAAAATCAATGCATAGTGGGCCCGGTGGGGCGGGTAGACGAATCCAGCGCGAACAAGCTTTCGGCACTGAACCAATGACAACACTTTATCCCCGAGCTCTCGGCGCAGAACGAATGATATACAAGTTCCGCCGGCGTCTTTCCGAAATTAGCTCGAGTTAAGGATATACGTACTCGTGCCCCACACCAAATAATCTACCGAAATGGAGTGGCGCAAAGGAACTGTTAGACCCACTTAAGCCTCGTTCGTTCCCGTCCGATTGGTATTTTCGTACGCCTGGGTTTTTCGTCTGAGTAGCCAACACCAAAAGCCCAGTGTCTGTATTTGGTGTGGGGCACGAGTAACACATAAGATTGGGGGAAACCTTTTCCTAGCAAATAGCTCTTCTCAGTAGTATCTAAGAAAATATATTATTCCTTTGCCATCTGGGTTATATTGCCAAGGGCTCGGGGAGCCTTCGGCAGCTAACCAATAACAATGCCTCTTACCCGAGCTTTCGGCGAAGAACCAATGACATGTAAGATTCCTTGAATTTCTTTAATAAACGCCTGGAAAAATGTTTCCCTGCGGACGGCTCACCGTAGTGTATAAGAGAATATGCTCTCTTTGCTTCTGGTTTGCGTAGCGCTGCCCCCTAATGTTTGCCACTCATCTTCCCGCGTACCAATCGTCATTACATGTCTCAAATTTCAACTCAACACGCTGGCTCAACGGACATGGCAGATGGGACCGATAACACACTGCACACCCTCTTGGGCAAGTTGACCCTTGAGGAGAAGGTGTCGCTCCTTTCAGCTGTCGATTGGTGGCGAACTCCCACGATACAGAGGGGGGGAGTGTTTGTGCCGCATATCAAGGTCTGTATTTCTTCCCTCCCCTGTCGAACACGTCTATTGTGCTTCTGCTGATAGCATCTCTCGTCCGTAGACTACAGATGGCCCTAATGGAGCGAGGGGCGGAAGTTACGTCAGCGGCATAAAAGCTGCATGCTTCCCCTGCGGAACAAGCCTGGGCGCTTCTTTCGACCGGGAGCAACTCTACCGTACCGGTAAGGAGATCGCTCTCGAGGCAAAGTCCAAGTCAGCCAATGTCCTCTTGGCACCCACTCTGAACGTCATTCGGGATCCTAGAGGTGAGTAAACCTGTGACTGATTCATGAGCGGCGGCAGATAATTTTACTGACTGCTTCTCTGAGGGGGTCGGAATTACGAAACGTACTCGGAAGACCCCTTGGTACTCGGAGTACTGGCTGCAGCATTTATCAATGGTAAGCCGGTTATAGACAATCAGGCAAACGCTTTCTCTGATGGCAAAGTAACGAACGGAAAAATGCTAATCCTGTTTCAAAGGCTGCCAGTCCGAGGGCATCGCTGCTACTCCTAAACACTATGTGGCCAACGACACCGAGAACAAACGTACAGTGCTCACCGTCGAGATTGACGAGCAGAGCTTGCGAGAGATTTATATGCTTCCATTCCAACTAGGGATGAAGCTGTCGGATCCATGGTGCCTCATGACAAGGTTCGACAGAACCTAGCCCCCTCCCATTTTGCCCCCCGCCCGAAACCTGAAGAGCCGGAGTGGGGGATTCTCTGTCGAGCCTGGAACCCCAGTGCTAACTACAAATATCCGAGCAGCTACAATCGTATAAATGGGACATACGTCTCCGACAGCGATAGGCTCGTCAACGGCGTCCTCCGAAAGGAGTGGGGTTTCAAAGGCCTGGTCATATCGGACTGGATGGGCGTCTACTCCACGACCGAAAGCATCAACGCCGGTGTCGACGTCGAGATGCCCGGGCCGACTGACTGGCGAGCGGACAAGCTCGTCCAGGCCGTCAAGGACGGGCTCGTCTCTGCGTCCACCATCGACGAGTCTGCACTGCGAGTGTTGCAGCTCGCTTCACGCCTCGGCAGGTTCGAGAACCCAGAGGAACCTCCGGAGCAGGAAGCAGAGAACGAGGAGCGGGACGCCTTCATACGAGGGGCCGGCGCCCAGGGCATGGTTCTCCTCAAGAACGAGGGCGACGTGTTGCCGCTGTCTAAGGGTACTTCGGTCGCCGTTATCGGGCACCATGCGACGCATGCAAGCCTCGGCGGCGGTGGAAGTGCTCGAGTCGACGCTATCCGCTCCGTGAGCCCCGCCGAGGGCTTCAGGGAGGCCGGCTTCACGACCACGGTGGCGCCCGGCATCCCAGTGTACGGTGCGCTGCCGCACGCTGACGCCACTCTTCTCTTCGACTCGGCCACAAAGACGCAGTGCGCCCAGCCGGTCCAGATTGAGTGGTTCAACGGGAGTCGTATCGGAGAGGGCCTTGTACACAAGGAGCGAAAGCCGCTCCCTGAGTACATGATCAAGGAGAAGTGGCCCGAGTATCTCTCCCGGGAGTACTGCTCAAGGATTACGTACGACGTCCGCCCCACGGTGAGCGGCGAGCACGTCCTGTCCATCATTTCCACGGGACCCGCCGTCTGCTACGTCGACAACTGCGAGATCTACCGCCAACAGCAAGCGACGGACCTGAGACCAGAGTCGTTCTACTTCTTCAAATCCAAGATTGAGCGGCGTGTACGGTACCGCATGGAGGCGGGCAGACAGTACACACTCGTGCTCGAGTCGTGGAACACCGACCCGGAGATCCTGAACGCCCCTCCTCTGTGCGGAAAGATGTTCCAGGGGTCGGCCCTACGCTTCCAGGAGTTCGTCGATGCTCAACAGCGAATCGAGGAGGCTGTCAACGCCGCCAAGGGCGCCGATGTTGCGGTCGTATGCGTCGGGACGACGAGCGAGATCGAGTCGGAGGGGTTCGACCGCGAGTCGATCGCGCTCACACCGGGACAGGCCGACCAAGTGCTCGCGGTTGCGGCCGCCAACCCGCGCACAGTGCTTGTCAACTTTAGCGGAGCGCCGGTCGATCTCAGCGCGCTCGTTGACAAAGTCCCGGCTATCGTGCAGGCGTGGTTCCCGGGGCAGGAGTGCGGGCACTCCCTCGTGTTGGCGCTCGGAGGCGACGTCGGCCCCGCCGGAAGGCTTCCCTTTTCCTGGCCCAGACGGGAGGAGGATAGCTCCTCATGGGGCAACTTCCCCTGCGACAATGAGAATGTCATCCGTTACGAGGAGGGGCTGAGTGTTGGGTATCGGTATTACGACCGTCCTGGGAGCCCTGCGCCCCTTTTCCCCTTCGGCTTTGGTCTGTCGTACACCACATTCGAGCTTTCGGGTCTGCACAGCACCAAGGACACATTCCGTTGGGTTCACGACCGCGCCGCCGTGGCCGTCGATGTGCACAACGTCGGGCAGCGGCTGGGCTCAGCCGTTGTCCAATTCTACGTCGAGATGCCTGAGGAAGAGGATGGAGTCGGAAGCGGCAAAGCTCTGGGACGAGGGAGACCACTCAAAGAACTGAAGGATTTCCAAAAATCTCATAACATCTTACCAGGGGAAAGCAGGCGGATCACGGCCAGCTTGGACAAGTACGCCTTCAGCATCTACAACGCCCACGAGGCGCGCTGGCAAGTGAGACCCGGCATGTACAAGGTACACGCCGGTTTTTCTTCTGAGGACTTGAGGGGATTTACGAATGTGACTGTTCCGACGACGATGTTCTGGGATGGTGTCTAGTTCAATGAGGTCGAAGGAAGGTAGATTAGTAGAACACCACAAACCCAGATGTCATCAGTAGGGCTTCAGCCATTGAGACGGTGCTACAGGGGTCATCAGTGCAATATTGCTAGGATCAATAGAATAGAAAAAGGATCTTCCAGACACCAGGGAAAGCAGTAAGAGGAGGTTTTTCTTTCTTTCTTTTCTTCTTTCAAACAAGTTATCGAAGTATCATCAGCTTAATCAAGTCTATTGCCCGTGTCATCTTATGTGTGTATTGTGTTGTCCTTGTGACATTGCCCTCCTTCATTATTATAAGTGCTATCCCCTCTATGAAGAAATATTTGAACTACGGAATCTTTACCGGATATTTGGTCGCGACAACTCAGAATGCGGACACTCTGACCGTTTCTCCCGCAGTATGTCCTCCATCGTACTTATTATCCACCCTATTGAGAGTACCCTGTGCTAACTAGAGAGTAGTTTAATAGTTTTGGAGAAGGATTCTCGGCCTTGGAAGTGTGGACTGTAATGTAAGAAAGATTATCAACAAGAGCGAATTAGGCATGGCTGTAGCGCTCTATATCGACGGAGAGGTCGCAAAACGGAGGGTTTCTTGCTGGATTGCACTGTTTCGTGAGCGGTCTCTATTGTGAACCGAAAGAAGACTTTCACGATCTGCCAAGAACAATGGACGGGAAGTTTGTTTAGAGCAATTTCGTTTAATTAAATGAAGAATGTGCGGGGTTCACTCAGCCGCAGCTCTCCATCCCAGGTCAGCTTCTTCACATAATTCTTAGGCCCCAGCGAGTCTGCATGTTGGCAGCTATGGCGGTCATCACAGTTTTATCTCTTCCGCCGGAGATTCTCTCGCAGATCTTCTCGAATCTGAATCCCTTCGACCTCGCATCCGTCGCCAAAACATTCAACCGCCAATTCTACCACGCGGCTCTCCAGGTACTAAAGCCCTCCATCCCATGGATGCAGAATGCCCAGCGCATGTGTTCGCTGTTTTCCACCTCCCGGGAGGGGCTCCTAATGCCGTCATTTCCGGGCCACATCGGCACCTTCAGCCCTGACTGGACCCATCGGAATGTCGACATTCCTACGGGCGATTGCGAACGCTTCGGATTGAACCCCGCAAAAAGCCCGTACGTTAGATGCTCACCGCCCGACTTGCGGAGCTGGATGAAGCTAGACGGAACCTTTGATTGGCTGGAGCCCCTCGATGAGAAAACGGCAAAGCAAATGGGACCTCACACGGGCCCCGTGGGTGCTCGCCCCGTAGCCCCGGATTGGAAGGTTGACGATTTCATCAAGCAGACCGAGAGGCTTGGCTTGACGCTGCCCCAGGGCTTCGACACGTTCCTGAGGAGCGAGCACTTGCATTACCGCATCCCGAGCAGCTCGGCTTGGTACTTTTATCTGGACGGGATTATTGAATGCCCCTCTTGCATTGACGGCGGTGCCGGCGGGTATCTCGTTCGTTTTTACTTCGATCAGCAATACTGCGCATTCTCGCATCTCTACATGAACAAGAGCGGCAACCATTGCATCCTATACACGGATATAGACCTGTACAGCTTCAACCCTGCCGCGTGGGGTGACGAGGACAGCGAGCAAAGCAACAGAGTCAGTCTTGAAGAGATGATCCGCCGGGACTATGGAGAGGACCACGACGTCAGGGATGAAATCCCAATCGTGGGCGTGACTTTTGAGGAGTATTTGGCTTCCGTTTACTTTGAGGAGCTTCTCAATTTTCGGGCACCGCCTTCTAAGGCATTGAGAGAATATGTCGCACACGTTTACAGACCGGCGGCCGAGGTCAAACCTATGCGAGAATACAGTAAGACACATTTACCATTTTCGGCCTTCAAATTGTCCTAGACGCTCACCTCAATGCTTCTACAGACACTGCAATCAAATCGTTTTTCGACGAATGGCAACGCCGTCGCAAGAACGATATCGCCGGCGTACTTGGAGATGAATCAATTGGCGAATGAGGAAGACTTGCGAACACAAGTGTGATGCTCTGAAGGTGATGGTCCGAAGGTCCGCTCACGGCATGGATGCGTTATCTCGAAGAGAGTGGCCCCTAACAGAAAGTTTTGCGAAACAAGATATAAAAAAAAAAAAAAAAAAAAAAAAAAAAAAAAAAACTGCGACTTGTTTTCCTCCCCATCAGAAAACCGCGTTTGGGGCTCGCGGTATTCAACAATTGCATAACCTGCCCGGTTAGCTCAATCGGTAGAGCGTGAGACTCTTAATCTCAAGGCTGCGGGTTCGACCCCCGCATTGGGCTCAAATCCCAATGCGTCTTCCAAGAAGGCACATCGATTTCTTTTTTGTGGAAGCTTTTTTATACGGCTTATTTTACTACTTTTTTTTTTTTTTTTTTTTTTTTTTTTTTTTTTTAAAACCATCCATGGACACAAGCGGATAATACCAAGTGGTAACTCATATCTTCTGAACACTCGTTCTATTTAGGCCACTTCATAAAACTCAGTTCCATCCTACCTATCTTGCACTTTGAGTCTTCCGCGAAAAGCATTCGCTCTAGTCGTCCTTTCGTTTCCACTCTCGCGACTCTGAGGCACCCCCTTTTCTTGCAACCGTTTCTCCAGCATCCTCCAGGTTCTCAACTGCCCACGTGGCGGATGACAGACTCTCTGCTGAACCAACGAGCCAGTCGCTCCACAGTTCGCACAATGGCTAACTGGGCAACAGCTTGCCTGTACTCCGCCCTGTTATCCCCGGACACCGCACGCGTATCTCTCTCCTGCGCCTCTCCCAGCATTTGCACGAAGGCCGAGACCTCTCCAAGGGACTGAAAATTGCGACCCGTCAGGGTCTCAGCATCTCGTAAACATGAAACCTTGATACTCTTGACAACTCGGATCAAGATCTCTCTCGTCGCTTCAACGGTCTCAGTCAGAAGAGCACCATTTTCAGAAACTGCCTCGGGTGTTTCAGTAATCCAGGCACGCGTATTCTGTATTTTCACGTGTTCATCTTCGCCTTCTTCAAAGTGCGACTGCCCAAGGGCCTCCAGCGGAGTCTGGGACGTTTTAGTGACGGCATCCAGCACCATATGCCAGAGATCCCAAGGGATATCCAATGGTATAACATCGCAGACTGTACATAATGCGAAGGCTGCGCTGATGATGAAAATGGCGCTTCTATAAGGTGACTCGAAGCCGTTGTGGCTAGGCCCAGCATGCACCTCAAGCGTTGTTAAGTCCATAGATTTCAGGTATTCGACGAAGCGTATATCGGGACTGTCGCCATGGTAAGGCTCGATAAGCATCGCGCCATTCTGCGCCTGGTCGATGAACCCGAGCGCCCACGACTCGGTTCCTTGGTGGTAAATCGGGAGCAGAATCCTCTCCGAGCCTCGGTTCAATGATTCCGCATGCTCCACCTGACCTTCGTCGGTCACGGTGCACATGACATAGCTCACATCTTTCGAGACTGCGTGGACGAGGAATCCCATAGCAGCTTCCACAATCTCCGCTCTGATGGGGTAATTGCAGGCGAACGGACGTAATTCATCCAGACGGGAGACATCCCACTCTTTACTCACCATGGGGAAGGTGTTGCTGGCAATGGGAACAGATGACATGGCATCGACTAAAGGGCTGTTCCAGCCTTCGGAAGTTGGCTCGTTCTCAGACACATTCCACATGATCATGGACGACACAAAACTGAGATTGACAGTGTATGAAAGTTGAGTATAAGTTTCTTAGTTAAAGGGTAGACTAAGTGCAGGCTCGAGAATGACTCAGGGCCCAGGAGAAATGAGCGAAGCACGTTGGATGGGAGGAGAAGGGCTAATATACGGAGCTCGGAAAGTAAACCGAAACGAGTTCCATAAAATGTAGATGTGCTTTATTGGATACCAATCTTTCTTGGGACTGTCGTATCGTATCCGATGGGAGGGGAGTGGACTGAAACAATCTCAGAGGAACGAAACAAAGGCAGACATATCTCAACTGACACAAAGCAAAGGATGCGGCGAGCATGAAAAGAATCAAGTTGCTACAGGCAGGAATGAAGAACTGGGGCAGATGTTTCCAATCTTTCCTAAATGGCCAAAGGACTCTTTATACGGGCGAATCGTAACGCCAAAGAAATCAGTGGCAACTATACAGTCAATAGCTGGAGCTATGCGGCGAACCCAGGTTCAAAAAAAGCAAGAATGGGATTTTCGAGATCCTCGAGGTAGTTAGGAATAAAGTCATTGTCCATTCACCTCGGCACAAAGAAGTCGAGTCTTTGGTGTCCTCGCTCCCCAACTCCATGGATGGGCCTCGGAGCGTTCCATTTGTCCATCATCCACGGTGAGTTGGAATTTGCGCCACGGAAGTCAAGGTAAATCTGCTATCGAAGGGCAAATCAAAGTTCCACTTGCGGTAGCGAAGGCCCTAGGCCTCTGGCATCAGCCTCCTTGTGGGCCTCCACATAAATTTTCGAAGGATACACATTTCACTATCAGAGTCAAAAATAAAATGAAAAAGAGAAGAAGAAACGTGAGAAATACAGGGAAAAAAGGTGAGAGGGTGAGAGAGAGGTAGCACAATGTTACCTACAAGCTTCTGGAATGTGCATGTTATCAGGCACCGTGCTTGGAGAGACTGACTCGGACATTCCTCTTGAGAGTGTGCCAGTAACCCTCGTAAAAAAAGCGAAATATCTGATAGAAGATTCGACAAGACACATCTACGAAATGGGGCTGGCGTCTATCGCCCAAGCTTGGCGAGATGATGACAACTTCCGATGGTCCCCTTCGTGTTGGCAGGTAATGTTGTGCAAGAGTGTCCGCCGTCATATCTGAGCTTTTGGTTCCGACATGCCTTGCAGCTAGCATACGGTATCAGTGCCCGGAAACAGCCGGCCTCTATGGGTGCCAACGAGTAGGTTCGCGCACGCTCACGCCTTGGGCGCCCGCCTCCCCCGCGTACGTTGCCTTGATGTCCCACGTCTCGTAGACATGGCTTATGGGACAGATTTTTTTTAGCGCGTTGTCGTCTGAGACGTCCGTCTCTCGTGACTCGCGACTTGGACAAGAGCGTGATGCCGTCCAGTGACGAGTACCGTGACAAGTACCGTGACAGTTGCTCGTATAAGCCGTACGGGCCGTCTTTCTCTAAATCGATGACTATGCCACACGCATTTCAACAGCTTCATGGTCAGCTTCATGATCACGCGCTACAGAGCGGCGCGAATTTGGCCTCAGATAAAGTATCTGTAACCACAGCCAGTCAATTATCTGCCACAATTTGAGAGGCACACTCCCTAGCTGGTCAATGACGTAGAAGGTAAGGACCGCAACGACAAGAGGCATTGGTGAAGGACGTATTCTGTCTCTCTCGAGGAATCCCCTCAGCGCATGTTGGAGTTCCTCTATCACAGTGATGATTTGCTTTTTGTTGTTTGAGAGTTGTTCTTGCACATCTATGAGGCCTTGGTCCTGCGATCGGGATTGAGGCAGATCTGCCATTTCGAAAAGACTCTTGGGGCCTCGTTGCGTTTGTCCGTGGGGTAGTTCTTGTACGGGCTGCGGGACCGGCTCTTCAGTCGGCTGCTTGCTTGGTTGTTTAGTTCCTTCTTGGGCTTGCTCTGGGGTTGTCTCTCGAGTTCGCTCTCTAGTTCGCGCTTGTGCCGGCTCTTGGGCGGGACGTTTAAGTAGATCTTGAAGTGATTCGTGAGGTCTGTATTGCATTATGAAATGCAGTTCGTCGAGGCTCGATTTCAACTCATCCTGAGAATCGTTGATCTTCCTAATAGTAACCATTCAGTTCTGATTTTGAGGATTGTGATGCAGATACTCACAGTGAAATATCAAAGTGTAGAATATCAAAGATCGTTGACCTCAGCCGTTTCAGCTCACTCAGATTCTGCTTCAATTGGTCCCTTTTCTTCTCCCACGTGAAGATCCTTGGGACTCTCGATCTTCTGAGGAATCGTAGTAGGATTTCCATACTTCCCAGCTCTAAACTATATAATCGGCCAAGGTTCTCCGCGAATATTTTGCGCCGGAACCTAGCAGTCCTATCGTATAAACTGAGGTAATCAAGGCTCTCGCGGCTGGATTGTATCACCGTTATTGTCATTTCAACTAGCTCATCATCCAGCATTATGGCCACGTGAAAATGCTGATTTAGCCAGACGACGATGGCGGCGGCGAAAGTGAGGATGCTAATAATAGCGGACGTAAAGGAGAGGAGACTTTCTTCCATGGTAACAGACTTCTGCTCTAGGGCAGTAACTTGAATACGAAAGGAGTGAATGAGATACTTTAGGGGTGCTAATTGGTGTCGTAGTTGGCCTTGGAAGGCTTTAAAAGAAGAGTTCTGAGAACTTTGTTCCGTCGCATTGATGCCTGACCCAGATTTTGGTTACAGGACCGAGGGATGAAGTGCTCCTTACAGGTAGCGAAGGGGCCAATCACCCCATCGCTTGGGCCCTACTAGCCAGCATCAGATCCCGTAGTTTAACATGATCTTTTAAGCCCTCTGTCATCTCGTTTCAGTTGTTGTCGAATTCCAGCATATAAGACCACGTCCTTTGGTACCAACCGGACCGAACTTCAGGTGTTTACCTGAAGACATTGAAAATCTCATCCAGCTTCCTTTCCCAAGGCTCGTTTTAGGCAGCCCGCCAGCGGCTTGCATATGTATGCACAAGATGAGGAGTTTGCCCAATAAGCAGGACATGGACGCATTCTAGATCCGACAGCAACCCGAAGGACTTGGTGCCCAACCTATGACCACTACAAGTCAGTCTGCACCTCTGCAGTCTCAGCCCATCAAAGTAGTCTCGACGCACAGGCTGGAGTGTCTTAGTGTCTACACGCGTGTTCTTAAATAGGATAACTTCACATTCTCCCGAGTAGGACGCCTCTATTGATCAATTTTTTGTCGAAGACATTCAACGAAACTGGTCGTAAGCGACGCTGGGACCTGGCAAGGCTGTCAAGGCAAGGAATTAAATGGCTGTGATTGCTGGAAGACGTGTCGCTGACGGAACAAAAGGGAAGGTAAGCATTTTTGATGCCGAAAAGGCACGAGGTATTTGCCGGGCCTGGTAGGCATTCGTGCGACGGAGTGACGCCCGGACTGAGGGCAGCCGTAGAGAGTGCCAAAGTCCGTTGGTAGACGCTCGGAGTGACCCTGATGAGAGTGACGCCCCAGCCCCCGAGAAAACGCAAACGGCTCACGTCGGACAAGAGAGTGCACTCATTATCCCCGGTACCGTAGCCACAGTACGTCGTGATTGCAGAGTTATCATATTCGCCTGCCACATTTCGACACCATGCGAATCATTACACAGTTACAACTTAGTTGCTTTTAACACGCTTCTAGCAGGCAATCGAGTATGTTTAGATATTAAGGGACAGATAATCTATCATGGCAAACAATTCCTCATATTCACGTAGACAGCTTTGATCTACGAGTAAGCCTCCAACCCCGCCTCCCTAGGCTCCCTCCCAATCCCACTCTGTTTGACACTGCCCAAAGGGACTCGCAGATCACAGTCTTAGCTGCTATGAATCCAAACCATCCCTACTTCAATCTCACTCCCAACTTAGTGTGCCCTCTCAAGGTTTGATAGTAAACACTGCCGCTCTAAACCCGTACGTTGCCACTTCGAATGGCTTTCGCAAATAACTACAACAGGCCCAAAGATCTCCTCCCACGAGATAAGCATATCGTCCTTGACCTGGGAAAACACTGTCGGCTCGATGAAGTACCCTTTTACAATCCGCTTTGGACCAATTGACACACCCTCGAGTCGATGGGGTACCGTTCGTACCCAACATTTTTATTACACAAATTTCGCCCGCGGCGAATTGGTTTGTTCGTCTAGAGAACTGGAGCATCACCAGAGACAATGGTATAATAAATTCAAGTCAAAAGTTGATGCGGCATCAAAGATCAGTCTTGTCCATTCAACTGAGATGGCGTCAAAGCTCAATAGGATCTGTCCAACGAATAATGCAGGCGACTATACCACTGCCTATAGACATGAAACAGCGAAAAAGGAAACCACTCTACACTTAGCTCGATGTGTTGTTCATGCACTGAACGCCCCCTTATTCGATGTGGTAGCCCGACCATCCACTCGCTAGACATCGTTCCAACGCCTCCTGATAGGCAGGCAAGCCTCCGAAATAGTTTAGCGGCTCACGAGTCTTGCCGGGAACGTTGGCACCCATGTACCACGACGTCTGGTTGAGCGGCATGAGCGTCTTGTTGCACGCCTCGTTCGTTTGCCGCGCCCAGTCAATCTCGGCATCAATCTTGGTGTTGATCCGGGAGAATCCCCGCTCACGGAGGTGGGTCAGCGTCTTAATGATCCAGTTGCCCTGGATCTCGGTGATGACGGGCCCGTTGGCTGATGCCGTGGGACTCTGAGGCCCGTAAAGGTAGAACATGTTGAGGAAGCCTGACGTAGACATACCCAAGAAGGTGCGGGAGCCGGCACTCCACTCTTGATTAAGCCTGCGGCCCTTCATCCCTCTAATGTCGAGCCGACTAAAGCCACCCGTCACAGCATCGAATCCGGTGGCGAGGATCAAATAGTCCAGTTCGTGGATGGTGCCGTCCGCCATCCGCACACCCTCCGGAATAACCTCGTCGATGGGGTTTTTCTTGAGGTTTGCAATCTTGACATTGTCCTGGTTGAAGACCTCGTAGAACCTCTGCTCCAAGGACGGCCGCTTCGTGCTAAACGGGTACGGCGGGTTTTCGGGAGCGAGATTCTCGATCAACTCCGAGTCTTCCTTACGTATCCTCTCTCGCACTTTGTCGCGCCAAAATCTGTAGAACACGCGGTTGGCCTCGACGTCGGTCATGAAATCGGAGTAGTTAGCTTGTGAAGGGGCGAACCCGCCATGTGCCCATAAATGCTCGAAAAAGGCCCTCTGCTGCTCTGGCGTATCGTCCGCCGCGCGCTTGACTGTGACGGGATATGTGAAACCGCCCTTGGACTTCGTCATCCCCTGAAAGAGCTCGGGGTAGTTATCTTTGTTGCGGGATCCGCTCTCCCAGGATCGTTGGCGCATCGGCAAGGTGTAGTTCGGGGATCGTTGGAAGACGACGAGGCTTCCCACGTTAGGGCCGAGCTCTTGAATCAACTGAACACCTGTCGCGCCGGTGCCTATGATTCCAACCCGTTTTCCAGCGAGGTCTAAAGGCTCATCGGGCCACCTCGCAGTATGGAAAGACTTTCCGTTAAAGGTTTCTAGTCCCTTAAGGTCGGGGATGTACATCTTGGACGCAAACCCCATGGCCGGAAGTAGGAACGGGGCGGTGGCGACATGACCCTGATCAGTACGTATCGTCCACATATTCTCTACCTGGTCGAAACTTGCCTCAGTCACCTTGGCGCCAAAGGTGATGTCCTTTTTAAGGTCCCACTTGGAATCGACAAACTCGAAGTAGCGCAGGATTTCGGCCTGGCCGGGGTAGTCCTCGGACCATTCCCATTCCTGCCAGAGCTCCGGATCAGAGTACTCGTAGTAGGGCACATTGGTGTCAACTCGAGCGCCGGGGTAGCGGTTGTGCCACCATACGCCGCCAAGGCCTTGGCCTTCTTCGTAGATGACGGCGCGGAAGCCTTGCTGTCGAAGTTTGCGGAGCAGGTAGCAGCCCCCAAACCCTGCTCCGATGATGATAACGTCAAGAGGTCTCGTGTCCACGTAGGAAGACATGTTGGTCAGAATGAAACGACAAATCGAATGCTTGGAAGTAAGAACCCGGACTCTACTGGTTATTCACACTCTCGGGTGGTATAAGCAAGGAATACCCTTGCGCCCCTTTTATAACGTCAAACAACCTCCGGTATCATCATATAATCGCCTCGGTTCCGCTCCCCCGTGTGGAGTTACCCCTCCGCATCTATACCATACTAACAATCAATTGGCATGCAAGCGGAAGATGGGCTGTCTGTTGTGATCGCGATGACGGCGATGCCGTGTGCAGTCTTAGCATCGGATGGTAAGTCCGTAGTACCACTTGGCTAGGCCACCGACCCCACGCTACGGGGTTAAATTCCGTAGCGAGAAACCGGGGAAACCGCACAGAACCCAACGCCCCTCCAGCATCCTATCAGGGGCAAAAAAGTGCGGGGTACATGACAATATTGCGAGGGTGTGGGTTGCAATCAAGATATGCATCGCTTGCTCACACCGTTCCTGCAACACTGTATACATTAACGGTTTTCGCCTCGCGACTCCAGATCGGGAAGCCTAGAGATAGATGTTGGGCGTTCAAAGGCCTCGCTGTGTGCCCTGGCCTCAGACACAGTAAATAGGTGTTTGGTTATTCTTTTATTGGGAGTGGTACTCATCTAGTCCAATGACTGACTGCGATTGTTTCTCCGGGAGTCGTCATTCGCAGGAATCGACCACACGGTCTCATCCATTTGTCTGTATCACAGCTGAGCTGGGCAATCTAGGAATGTGAATATTCACTAAGTAAGAGATAGTTATACATGGAGCTCTTAAAACATGCCTCTTTAATCCGGGACATGTCGAAACCAGGCAAGGTTGGGCGGGTGTTCCTTTGGGATGTCCTATAATAAGACAATGCTTGGGGCCACGACATCGACAGCCGGCTGCAGCTACGTTAATCCCACAACATTCAGCGAGTCTGCTAAGCATATTAACTGCTCCGCGCTGAGCTCGAAATCAGCCGCAAAGTCCTCCATCCAAGAATCCGATGTCGTATGTGACGGATACGCAAAGACGTCGGCAGCGGCTTCTTCGTCCATCGTCTTCTCCACCGTAGGAGTATCCAAACACTCCCTCATGACAAGCGCAACGGCGGGTTCCATGTCGTATTTCGAGGGGAGCTGGTCCAGTAGGCTGTCGAGCTGCTTCAGTTCCTCGCAGTACATCTTGGCGATGGCGCTTCCCCGAGAGCTCATTTCTTCTAGGACCGCGTACCCGCACTTGGTCCACATGGTGTGTTCTGGTACTAGCGAGGGTTCAATGGTCGATGCCATTAAGATAGCCATAGATGAGGACACTGTTGCATCGAGGTCGAAGGGCAAGAATGTTTCTTCAGTTCAAGTTCACATGTTAGAAAAGAACTGACCTTGTCTTCGGCGCTGCAGTATGGAGTGTGAACTCACCCAAGGACCCTTGGCTCAGTAACGTAGTAAGTATTCGTAAACTCTGACGTGCGGATTCAGTGCATATTTGAAGAAGGCCTCTAATACTCTCCGACTGCAGCCATTGCATCGGGGGTGTCCAAGACTGGCGGACCCTACATTGAAAGAAGATGTACAAGAGGGGCCTCGTGGTGAGGACGATGCTCTGTATCATCACAAATACCGTTAGCGCTAGAGCCTATCGTCCTGCTGTACGAGTGCAGAGACAAACCCCACCTGATGATGCTGAAGATGCAAGGACGCAGCTGTCCGGGACACCCCAAGGGCTGTCTCACTCGCGTGAATTTCAAAGTGCTTGTTGACCTGGGCCGCGACTGTCGCAATACTTCTCAAAACAGACCTAGTTGCGTCCAAGTAGCGGCCGTCAAGCTGCCCATCGACGCCATACACAGCTGAGAAGAGATTGCTGTCAGCGATACCTATGTGGCTAATTTGGAAAATTGGCTCATGGGCTCACTCTGGTTTATTTTCCATAATACCTGACACAATTTGACTTGTATGCGTAAGGCATTTGTTCTTTGTTGATCCGCCGGAAAAATATATAAAGGGGTAGATATGCAATCTTCCGTGACAGTCATTGGAACGCCGACGAGGGATGACATCCGGCGCTCAAGGACATACACAGTCCACCAGAGTCTGTGTGATTTGCTCACAAACTCGTCGCTTAAGCCTGGACTTATCATCTCGGTATGCATCCCCCACTCAAGGGCTACGCTTACAGCCCGGGCGATCTAAAGGGCCGAAGAAAAAACGGGTTAGCATCTGAAGCTGTCGTACGTGGCATTATTAAAGGGTTTGCTGCGGTGCTCACGGTGTTATGGGCGGCCGGCCGGCAGTGAATGCATTGCAAATATAGCGCGATGCAGCAAAGGACTTGTATTTTCTCGTGCGGATCGCCTTTGTAGAAGCTCAAGTCCGGCAGGAGCTTCATCGCGCAGACAAAAAACTCGGCACCTGGAGGCCTCGGCGACTTGCTGACCTGCACAACGAAAGCCTTGCCGAATGCTAGGATGAGCAGGTAATGTACATACCATAGCGGGGAGATGTCGGGGTGGTTTCCTGAGGTTTCGTGGAATAACGCGAACTGAGCCATGAAACGCTGCTCGTCAAACAAGTAAAACATCGTACCGCAGTGAAATTTGACGGTGTTGATAAGGTGAATGGCGAAGTCTTGGGAAGGTAGATTGAGAAGACTCTGGGTATTCTGTGCCGGCGCCGGCGATCGCTGCCCATCCCAGCCCAGGTCGTAGACTTCTCCGTCAAAGACGAGGCCTTCGGTCGGAAGCGGCTCTCCGGTGACAACCTCGTAGGCTGGTCAGAGTTCGTCGACCAAATGACCAGTTGGACGATGTTCCCATAAAAACTGTATCAAAAAAAAAAGTCAGAATAACAATAGGACAACGCGAGGGAGTAGGTCGGGGAAGCAAACGTTTTGTTCCGCGAGGGCCCGAGATCCAATCAGTGAGGTGAAAGGCTAGTGGGTTGGTGAGTGGTGCATCGCCTGTCGTTCGTACCTCGGCGGGTTGATGAGGGGATAGGACGCTGCGGTAGTCAGCGCTCAGCTACAAACCTGTCACGGGTGTCTCATAACTTACGAGGTAATATTCTCACTCGTTGGGTCTGTCATGGTCGTTGTTGGTTGTTTGCTCAATCATCGCAAGTGAGAGGGAGAGAGCAGGTGATATGCTACTTACAAGCTTCTGGAATACTCGTGCTATCAGGCACCACATTTGGAGAGACTGACTCAGACGCTCCTCTTTCAAAGTTTGCTAATCTCTCCTGTAAAGCAGTAAGATATCTAAGGGAAAATTAGACGAGATGTCTAGGAAATTGGCCCGGCCTGTGTCGTCTAACCTTTGCGGGATGACAACTGTCTGACCTTCGTCTTCGTATTGACAGGTGATGTTGCGCTTACGACACTGCTGGCAGGGTTCTCCGCCATCACATTTGATCTTTTGGTCCCGGCATCTCTTGCAGCTAGCATTGGGAGGACCGCGCCCGATGTCAGTGCTCGAGAACAGTCCGTCTCTACGTCGGGGGAGGAGGGAGGAAGCTCGCGCGCTTACGCTTTGTAGGCCCGCCTCCTCCGCATACGCTGTCTTCCTGTTCCACATCCGGTAGACATTATAGCTTATGGGATAGGGGTGAATTCTACGAATAACATGGAGCCGAGTTTCCACGGCATTATCGATGGAGGGTTCCCTAGTCCCCGCGTTCAAATGCCCGTATCACACTCAGCAACTCGCTGCGTGGCAAAAAAGAAAATGTGGGGCTGGGAAAGGAAAGGGGAAGAGAGACAAAATGAGATTGAAAATCGAGAAAACACAATGAGGGAAAAGGTTCTCCGTGGCGTTTGAATGATAGGGAGACGCACGGTCGTATCTCAAAGTGGGGTTCGGGGTATTCCACTACGCAAAGCTTCAGTTTCTCTACGATACTAAAAGGTACGCACGCCCCGAGACTCCTCTGGACTTATCGGGATGCGTGCTAAGTAGTTTATGGATTAGTAGATGATTAGTAGACGAGGCGAAGCATCCACATCTGAACCCCGCAAAGAATTGCCCCCTATCCGGGGAAGGGAACATCATGCCAAAGACCGGGCAGCATCGTTACACCTCCCCAGCTTTGCCGGGAATAGATTCCAATTTCGTCACCCTCTCTCTCTCCATATCGGCATGGGGGTTACCCCGGATCTTGGCAGGACTAGCGTGGCCCGATAAGCACCCCATACTTCCCCTGTCTGGGGAATGGGCGTCGATTAGTAACACCGAGAGAGACCGTGTGTGTAGAGTTGTGTCTATCTCGCTCACAGCCCTGTCTTGTTTCTCATAGGCACACCGAGCCTCGGGGCCATGTCGCCGGGCCTCCTATAATACTCGCAGCATCCGCCAACCTCAAGGCCAAAAGTTTTCCCGTAATCCTCCTCTCCAAGTCATTTTAGACAACCATCGCACTCCCTTCGGCTTGTCATTTATTATCACTATCTTATCTCTACAACCTGCAACCCCTGCCAAGGTATCTCTCACTCACCGTCATGAAAGCTGCCCTGAAATCCTCTTCCAAACTCTCGCCAACGCGGCTGGAGGATGGCGATGGCAAGGACTCGGACATGCCTCCCAAGCCTGAACAATCCGATTTGGGAGAAGCCGTTGAGATTGAAGACGCAGTCTTTGGCCAGATTACCCGGGAGGGTCCAAACTATCGAAACGTAAGTGCCGATATCTGCCCAGCTGAACAAGCGAAACTGTAACGAAGATAACCAACAATCCTTCGTGCACAGGTCGGATGGGTGGGAACGGTCGCCCTTATGGTAAAGCAACAGTTCGGTCTCGGAGTGCTCGGTATTCCAGATGTGTTGAATACTCTGGGAATGATTCCGGGTGTTATATGCATACTTTGTATTGCGTGCATCACTACATGGTCATGCTATACTGTCGGTGCTTTCAAACGACGGCACCCTGAGGTCTACGGAATTGACGATGCTGTTGGAAAGATGCTTGGCCGCATCGGAAAGGAGGCATTTGCTGTTTCCCTCTGCATCTGTAAGTAATTCTTTTCTACTCTCGACCGAGAGGGAAGGAAACTTCACGAAGGCCCGTTGTCTCATGAACTAATCGAATACCGCCTCTTGGCTCTGTTAGATTGGACATTCTGCGCTGGATCAGGCATGGTCAGCACCGCCACTGGGCTCAACGCCATCTCGTCCCACGCAACCTGCACCGCCGTCTTCGTCGTTGTTGCTGCCATTGCCGCATTTCTAATCTCTAGCATTCGCACTTTGTCTCGGATGACCTGGGCTGCGTGGGCCGGCGTGATTACTGTCTGCATTGCTGGTAAGTACTATGGCTCTTCCAGCAGTTAAATTCGCCTTATTAGTATTGTTATTATTCTTTATACTCGGTGCAATTTCATCCCATACTAATGCGCAAATTGCTAGTTATCATGGTGACTATCGCCGTGGGCATTCAGGAACGCCCATCAGCTGCACCCCAAACGGGGCCTTGGAAGTCTGACTGGAAACTCGTCGGCAATCCCTCCTTCACCGAGGCCGTATCCGCCATCGCCACTACCATCTTCTCCTTCTCTGGCGTCCCCGGATTCTTCCCCATTGTGGCGGAGATGCGCAACCCGGCATTTTACAACAGGGCTCTCTTTACTTGCCAGGCGTTTGTTACGTCCATGTACATTGCCGTCGGCTGTGTCGTTTATTACTACTGTGGCTCTTACGTAGCGTCTCCCGCTCTTGGTTCTGCTGGAAAGCTCATCAAAAAAGTAGCCTACGGCATCGCTCTTCCTGGCTTGCTGGTGAGCGGCGTCATTGTTTATCACGTAAGTTTTGTTCCCTCTTGGGCGGATGCTTGCGAAAAATATCATATGCCGGAAACATGCTAATACCCAAGATACTATCAGTTCGCCAGCAAGTATATATTTGTTCGCGCACTGCGAGGATCGAAGCACCTCACATCCAACACGTTCACCCACTGGGCTGTCTGGCTCGGATCCACCTTTGGTGTTGGCGTCGTCGCCTACATCATCGCCAGCGGTATCCCCGTTTTCGGCGCGTTGGTGTCCCTCATCGGCGCCCTCTTTGGCACGCTCATGTCCTTCCAGCCCTTGGGCTGTATGTGGTTGTACGATAACTGGAGCCGCGGCAAGACTAGGCCGACTCCGAGGTGGTACATGATGGTTGCCTGGAGTGTCTTTGTCATCGTTTCTGGTACTTTCCTAATGGTGGCAGGTACCTATGGCTCCATTGTCGGAATTATCGATCTCAACAAAGCCAACGGCGGGTCGGCTGCCTGGTCGTGTGCGGACAACTCAAATTCGAGCTGAGCCCTAAGCTGCGCAGAAGAAGGCGTGCTCTTTTCAGAGATTTTGTTATCATTTGTATGTCGAATAGTATGAACATATTCAAAGACTACATGTAAAGGATGGCAATTTCCCACCCATCATGCATCAGCAGTTCCTGGGTATGGGGATAATCAAACTAATACAACCACACCTTATGATGTACAGACGAACGGTGGGTAGCTAGCGGAGGGGTTTTATGAAACAGGACGTATGGCCGTAGATAGCCCTTGCGCATGTACATACAAGCTCGATACGCACGAGTGTCTAGGCATAAGAGTACATAGTGAGACGTAATCGCCCGAGGAGGACACGCTAGTACGTTCTCATTTCACATTTCTTCTACTTCTACCTATATAGTTACATCGTTACTCCGATCTCCAATGCGTGCATAATCCGTACTCCGAGTTCCCTAGTACCGGATCAAGCTCCGGGTTAGGTACAGACCAAACTTCCTCATATCTTCCCTCATGGGCTCCGCCCAGGGCAAAGTCCCAATCGTTCCCCTTTTTGGGGTAAGCGCCGAGCATAGTAAAGCCCGAAAGCTGAATCTTGCCCATGGCCGCTTCCATATCCTCGTCGCTAACGTCATGGCCGTCGCCAGGCGAAAGTCTCAAGAGCTCAGCGGCCGGGTTGGGATGGTGCGTCTTGTGCGCCAGACCTGCGGGCAAGATGAAAACGTCGCCTACGTGGGCCTCTAGCAGGAGGCCGCCCTCCTCTGGGACCCTGCTCTCGCCAGATCCGTGCTCGCCTTCGTCACCGAGGTCGGCAACGCCGAACAGGATCTTGGCTGATCCGGAAAGGACCACCATGCACTCATGGACCCCGGAGTGATAGTGAGAAACTTGGTTTCGGCCATAGCGGACAAGCCAACGGGCTCGCCAGCCATTGCCTTTCAAGATACTGTAAACGTGCTTGGGTGTGCATTCAGACTCTTTAAAGAAGGCAGGGTAATGCAATAAGGACTTAGGGGAGTTTGGTACGAGTGCCGTCGGGGGAAGCTGGTATTTCTTGACGTTGACTGCCATAGTGGAGGAGTGTTATCATGGGATGGGCACCGTGATGAGGTGTCAAATGGTTTGCTTCGTAGGCCGTATGTCGTGCGATTGCGGCTAGGGCCAGTCAGGATTGAAGTGTTCGGCGATTTCGATTGCTTGCAAGATAAAGAGTATTGTAAATTTTGTCGGGAGACAGGCGTCCGCAGGGTTCCTTCAAATACCGTGCCCACGGGGCTTCGCACCGGGTGCTTTCCCGAGTTTACCTCCAGGCCTTGTATCTCACTATGATGCTCGTTGGGGGAAAGTGGAGGGAGGCCACCACCATCGGATGGATTTCCGATAGCACCATATCAAGCTCCGAGCAAACATGCGGACGGCAGCCCATTCCACGTCTCATAGCTACGAAATGAACAGGAGTCCACGAGCATAGAGTCTGGTATCGAAACGCTTATAACAGGGTGTATTCGGCTTATCGATTTTTATGAGATGAACATCAGACTCTCTTCAGCTCTATGTGCCCATGGTTTTACCAGTCCAGATTGGTCTAAACTAACGGATTCAAAACCGACCACGACCCTCGGAAAATGAAATCTTGAGAACTCCACTGCTCGTCGCTACTCTCTACTCAAGGCAGTCTGACGAGTGCTAAGGAATAGACGTAGGAAAGAGCCATCGGGACAAACCTCTCTATGGCCGCAAGGTTCACCCCTGAGATCATGACAATTTCGACAAAAAATTGCCCATTAGAAATTCATGCATCATGCAAAGATAGGACTTTGCCCAACTCCCGACACAGGGCCAGGGCATGACAGCGTCGATTGAATCCCACAGAACCCCGCTCCTTCAGATGGTCGGCCATCATATCAAGTGGCAATTTCGTTAGACAAGCCTTACCTGATCTGGAAGGTGTCCTTTCACCGCGGTAGCTTTCCCGTTTCGACTTTCCTGGTCTTATGATCTCAACCATCCCCGCGGTGCTAGGAACGCTATTCCTAAGATTAGAAGATGAAGAAACGACGCGTTTTGGACAAGGGTGAGTGAGTGTCTGAGATTCCAGAAAGTAATTAGCGGATCTGTCGACCTGACGTGTTCCCATCGAGATCCCTCACTGATCAGTCATTGTGATATCGAATCCGTTCTCTTGCCACACAACAACTCCAATTTAGTCGTCAACCGTCGGATACATGTGTGGGTACAGAATGCGTACTTGTTCAACCGCCTCTTCCCGCCGTTACGATGGAGTCATATCTGTGTATACCACAAATTGAGTAAAATATTAGTAGTAATTAGCAGGAAGCATGTTTGCCATTCCTTAATAGATTGCCCATTACAGATATTTAACATGAATTGCAAAAAAACAATGAAAGAAAAATTCTTCTACAAATTTGGCGCTAGCGTAACCGGGGGTGCCCGAGGAATGCAGCAATATCAAACTCAGCTTCAATTCCAACTTTTCTGTTTTAATGAGTTACAGGCTTACCCAGCACAATCATAACATCAAGAACTTTTCATCTGCAAATCAGCTCTGTGTCGGCATGCTGGTGGACGTGGCATGCTTCTCTTGTTCTTGGGCCCTCCTCCACAGACTCGTAACGGTCTTGGTCTGGGTGTAAAAGCTCAGACTCGGCTTTCCGTAGAAAGTACTCACGCCACCTCCCGCGATGCTCTTCTTATTTCCAGTGAAGCTGAACATTGGCAGAGGCACAGGTATAGGAACGTTCACTCCCACTTGACCTGCCTCAATATTCTTCTGGAACCAACTGGCCTTGGGCCCGGAATTGGTGAAAATGGCAACGCCGTTGCCGTATTCATTCTTATTGACCAACGCGGTGGCAGCCTCTAAAGAATCAGCCTCGAGCACGCAAAGTACTGGACCGAAGATTTCCTCTTTGTAACACTTCATATGTGGCTGAACACCCGTGATGATGGTCGGGCCGATGAAGTTACCATTCGGGTACTTTGGCAGTGCATAATTGCGCCCGTCCAAGGCGATAGTTGCACCTTCCTCCGTCGCGGACGCAATAAGTCCCTCGATCCGCACTTTGCTCTGGGGACTGATTACAGGGCCTAGGTCAGCGCCCTCTTCAAAGCCGCCGTCGACCCTTAGTCCCTTGGCGGCTTCGACGAGATCGCCGATCCACGATTGAGTCTCGGGGCCAACGAGAACAAGAGTGCTCAGAGCCATGCATCGCTGGCCGGCAGCACCGAAGGCAGCACCTATAACAGAGTTGATGGTGCTCGCCTTGCTGCAATCGGGAAGAACAACAGCGTGGTTCTTGGCCCCGAGATTCGCCTGCACCCTCTTCCCGTTGGCGGAACCGCGGGTGTAGATGTACTCGCCGGCGGTGTTTCCTCCAACGAAGCTGATGGCCTTAATAGCGGGTTCATCAAGGATAAAGTTGACCGCGCGATGGGTTCCATGGATGATATTGACGACGCCATCGGGGAAGCCAGCTTCTTTTATAAGTTCTGCCAAGATCATAGCAGCCCCGGGGGTGCGTTCGGAGGGCTTGAGGATGAGCGTGTTTCCTGTAACGGTTGCAATGGGAATGGACCAGAGAGGAATCATAGCCGGGAAGTCTAAGAGAGAAGCTTAAGTCAGTCTTGGACTCTGCAAAAGATCAGGGATCACTGTTCATAAAGTAGTCATCAAAAAAAAAAAAAAAAAAAAAAAAAAAAAAAAGAAAAGGAAAGAAAAAGACCCCTTACTGAATGGACAAATTGCTGCGGTGACTCCCAAAGGCTCGCGGTAGCTGCGGGTCTCCATATCCTTGGCAACCTCCAAAACCTCTCCAGTAAGCTGAGTCGTGATGCCGCACGCGCTCTCGGCAACCTGCAGGCCTCTCAGCACATCTCCGTGGGCATCGGCGAGGGTCTTTCCCTGCTCCAAGGTGATGGCGGCGGCAAGCCTATCCTTATTCTCGCGTATGAGACGTGTGAAATTGAACATGAGCTGCTGTCGGCGGATGATTGAGGTATTCTTCCAACCAGGGAAAGCATCCTGCGCCGACTTGACAGCAGCGGCTAGTTCCTCATCCGTGGACTCGGGGACACGCGTAACAAGATTATTAGTAGCAGGGTCGTGGACATCTATCCAGGACGACGCAGACGAAACCGTGAACTTGTTGCCGATAAAGTTGTTTGTGGGTTTGGGCTCTGCAATCTTCTCATGACTCGTTGGCCAGGGCGTGTATGCTCGAATGGGCTGAGCCATGATTGGAAGCGATGGGGAGGGTGCCAAGGAACCCGATGGCCGTACCATTGTCCGGCTCCTTGGGAGTGCGCTCACTGCGACTCGATAAGATCTCATTGCCCTGACTGGATACACTGCTTGTTTTTACCAAGGGATACGTGATCCGAGTACCCCATCACTCACTCACAGCAGTTCAAGATATACACCACAGAAGATAAAGGCTGACACCTAGGTGCCGATAGCAGGCAACTAATCAGGAAGGTGGATCCATCATTGATGAATTTTAGTCGACATTTTACGGGGTTGCCTTTTATCGCGGGGAAATAGGGAATTGCCCTGGCGAGGCGTACCGCGGGTGGACCGGAGATTGTCAATTCGGGACGAGGGGATTGGGAGCGACATGGGCTCCCGACATTCTAGGAAAGTTATGCCGGGAAAACCACGCGGGGGCCTTCTAGCGTGTTGTAGATCTAGAAAACGAAAATGCAATGGCGGGATCGACTTTATCGTATGAGATACACGGTGGCTAGAAACGACGATTAATTTCCAAGGCTCAGCTCAGATAACAGCTCCATGGCCCTAGGTTCTCGAAGTTTTTATCTGCATAGAAACATTCTCAGAGTCGAGGATAAGTCGGTCGAAAATCGGATCTCACACAAAACGACCTGCCCTAAACTTCTAGTTCGCTACTTCACTTCTTTTCCTTCGGCCGTAGATAGACACAACTGATCATGGCGAACCGCGGCGTGAGTTATGACCCCCATGTGCACACCGTCTCCGATCTGAAGGAGCTGGGGAGCAAGAAGCTCCCCAAGATGTATCGAGGTGCGTGAACAAGCAAATATCCAGAGGCTACGTTTCGCACTACCAGATCGAAGGAACCCGGGGTCTAATAAAACAAACACTAGATTATTTCAATGGCGGGGCCATGGACTTGGAGACGTAAGATAACTTCCCCGTGCTCATTCCCATTCCCACCCAGGCTTACGGGAGCAAACGCAATTCTCCTATCCTGCCCTTTATTTAGCCTTTGCGATCCTACGGGAGGGCTTAAACATCTAGGAGCAATTCCTTTCTTCGGACAGAAACGAATAACTGAACCATTTTTTTTCTTCTTTTTACAGGCTCCGTGACAACGAAGATGCCTATAGTCGGTACAAAATCCGGCCTCGGATCTTGGTGAATGTTGATAATGTCGATATGTCGTCCGAAATATTCGGTGTCAAGACTGCCTTCCCCCTTGGCTTCAGCCCGGCTGCCATGCACAAGCTCGCGCACCCTGACGGTGAGCTTGCCACATCTCGCGCAGCTGCGAAGATGGGCATAAGCATGGGTCTCTCTTCCTACGCCACCGAGTCCATCGAAAACGTTACAGCTCAAGGAGCGGGGAATCCGTATTTTATGCAGTTCTGCGCTCTGAGGGACCGTGAAACCACGCTCAGTATATTACAACGGGCAGAAGGTTAGTGGTTATAGAACTCTATTCGTCCTACCCAACACTGGGAATTGCACAGCTTAACAGAAAAAAAAAATTACAGTTGCTGGGTGCAAAGCCGTCTTTCTTTCCGTCGACTGCCCCTATCTCGGAAGGCGTCTCAATGAGTACCGAAACAACTTTGTACTTCCCGACGGCATTGTTTGGCCAAATCTAAACTCCGACGGCAAGTCGGAACTCAGTGGGGGCAAGATCACATCCGAATCCTCCCACAAGCACGAGTTCGACCCCAGTCTGGATTGGGAAACGATTCCATGGCTGCGGAAGGCCACGAAGCTCCAGATTTGGATCAAGGGTGTTTACACCGCTGAGGATGTGTCTCTGGCTATCAAGCATGGCCTCGACGGTGTTGTGATATCGAACCACGGCGGACGCCAACTTGACAGCGTGCCCGCAACTCTCGACACGCTAAGAGAATGCGCAGTGGCTGCGGCTGGGAGGATACCCATCGCGGTTGATGGGGGAATTAGGAGAGGAACCGATATTTTCAAGGCGCTTGCCTTGGGAGCTACGCATTGCTTTGTGGGCAGAATACCTATTTGGGGCTTGGCGGTGAGTGATTTCTTTCATCTGCCTTGACGGCGGAATCCATGATTGCGATCGACCGTGCTGACGAGATTCTGGGAATAATAGTACAACGGACAGGCGGGAGTCGAACTGGCTCTCAATATCTTGATGGATGAGTTCAAGCTCGCTATGGCGTTGGCAGGGTACGTACGCTCTCATATCCATGGTCCCGAATGAATCTTGCACTTTTTTTTTTTTTTTCTTTTTTTTTTTTGGACTTATCGAGTTATTTCTCTTGTGTGGATGGGAAAAACGTACGGAGTGGGAGGTTCGCTTGTGCTGGGGGAGGATACGCGCCGGTGGACGGCTTCGGAGACGAGGCTTTCCAGTTCGTTGAGTTTGGGTATGACGCCCCTCGTTTCCATTATGCGATCGAATTCTTTCTATAAGCCGAACAGTTAATGTCAGTCCCTTCGACTTTTTCCGTAGAACCCCCCAACCAAGAGACTCCTCCGCTTCATACCTTACACATAGTCTCTAACCTCTCCACCATCGTCTTCCTCACCCCCTTCAGCAAATTGGGCGAATTCGCCCAATTTGCTGAAGGGGGTGAGGAAGACGATGGTGGAGAGGTTAGAGACTATGTGTAAGGTATGAAGCGGAGGAGTCTCTTGGTTGGGGGGTTCTACGGAAAAAGTCGAAGGGACTGACATTAACTGTTCGGCTTATAGAAAGAATTCGATCGCATAATGGAAACGAGGGGCGTCATACCCAAACTCAACGAACTGGAAAGCCTCGTCTCCGAAGCCGTCCACCGGCGCGTATCCTCCCCCAGCACAAGCGAACCTCCCACTCCGTACGTTTTTCCCATCCACACAAGAGAAATAACTCGATAAGTCCAAAAAAAAAAAAGGGTTTTTTTTGGGCCCCCCCCCCCCCCCCCAAGCCATCCGTGTATCCGCACCCACGCCTATTGCCGCCTCTTATGCTAGCTCACCAACTTTGAAGAAGGGGCCTCGGAGGGAGTGAACGGACGCGAAGACATCCAAAGCATCGGGCTTTGCCGCGGTGCCTTGAGGTGGAGAGAATCACTGCATGATGCTAACCCTAGACAAGTAATTCGAGTACGCAAGGACACGACAATTTTAGGACAAAATAAACTTCTCGACCCAAGATCCCCACAAATTTAATCGTTATGTCCTTCCGTATTCGAGCGGGTCCGAAAAATAAAGAAAGAGGTATCCCAGGGGGGGAGGAAAGAAGGGGAAATTGCTCAATATTCCTGAGCTTCTCCGGGGTGTCCGTGAATTGATTAGGAGGAAAGTCCAAGGAATCAAGTCTAGCCGATTAGGACACACTGCTGCACCAATTTACCAAGTTGGGAAAGTTACCGCGCCCGGAGCATGCAGTCGGGGCCCGAGACAACCGCTGCTAACTGGTACCGGCGAATCTTGCTCTTTCGAGAAGCTGGCGGTGGACAAGGTCTGGGCTACCCTTACTCTACATTGTTTTAAATGGCCCCAGCTTTCATGGTTCCGGGAAGAAGGAAAAAATGGGCTAATAGATAACAGACGAACTGCCAGGCCAAGACACCCCCTGCATGTACTTGGCATTACGACGAGAAATCATCCAGATCAACCCGTCCACATCAAACGCAGAGTAGAGGCTACCCAATTCTCAGGGCCGTATTCTACGCACTCCCCCCCATCTACATCTTTCCTTGTTATTCGAGGCAAAAATGGCCCCCCAGGAACTTAAGGGCATCATGGTTGCCCTCATCACACCATACACCACCGACAAGAAAGCCATCGACTTGGCCGCCTTGGGTGAGCACATTGACAGACTCATCAAAGCGGGCGTACACGGTCTCGTCCCTGGGGGAAGCACCGGAGAATTTCCCGCCCTTTCAATCGACGAACGCAAGACGCTCGTGGAACAGTGCGTCAAGTCTGCCAATGGCCGCGTGCCGGTTATCGCGGGCACCGGCGACCTCTCAACGGAGCGCTGCGTGGACCTTGCAAAGCATGCCGCCCAGGTAGGGGCATCCGCGGTAATGGTCGTGCCCCCTTTCTACGACGCGGTCAACCTGGACCAGCTGGTGGAATTGTTCCGAGAGATTCACGAGGAAAGCGGGCTGCCGATAATGTACTATAATATCCCATCGGCGAGCGGTCTGACACTCGAGCCCGAGCAGATCGCCTCCCTCTCTCAGGTCGGTGTTAAATATCTGAAAGACACGTCCGGGAACGGCCCGGCCCTGACCGAATTGCTCTTCAACTGCGAGGATCGCGTCACGACCTTCAACGGATGGGACACGCTGACCTTTTACGGACTCGCTGCCGGTGCGAAGGGTTCCGTGTGGGGAGCAACCAATATCATTCCGGAGCTTTCCATGGAACTTTGGGACGCTGTGGCCGTGAAGGGAGATTTAAAGCGTGGCAGGGAGCTCTGGGCTAAAATCTGGCCCATCTGTAAGTTCTTGGAATCGCACAACTACGCTTCCGCCGTGAAGACTGGCATGGAGCTGCGCGGGTGGTCAACAGGAGGTCTGAGGAAACCATTCGCCTTGCTGGAGGGGGAACACAGGGATAAACTTGCGTCTTTGCTTAAGCAAGCCGGGGTGCCGGTTGTTTGAAACTTCGAACGAGGCAGGAGCAAACACCGGAGAAAGCGACTCGTGAGGCTCAAGAAGATTACAACTTATTGTACAAAGGTGAGAGTTTCGAAGGCTGCAATAATGATATATATAAACAACCATATCCAAACGCTACTCGGTAACTGTAATTCAAAAGCCTTGTGACATGACATTGGGCCAGCTCAACGTACCGTCCCTCGAGCTTGCCCGTCGCTCCCACACCAAGGGTACAATTTGACTAACGGGCTTCGAGGTAAAAGAGGTACTACCCTTTTTATCAATAGCAAGAAGCGTTTTCAGTGCCTGTTCCTGAAGCTCTGGAGACACCGCCTCGCATGATGCGATGAAGGCGGGCCAGGTTATACTCATGGCGAAGTCATGATCGTCAATGCTCTCTTCTATACAAGGTTGTAGGTAGTCGAGCGTCTTCTTGACATGATCTTGAAGTATCATTGCATTCATGCTATACACTCGACGATACAGGTAGATGATGATGGCCCGATGAAGCGCTAGGGACATGGACCTGGCATTGGGTTCGTCCAACACGCAACCGTCGCCGCCGCCGGATTCGAAGGCATCATCACCGTGGGTCAGGAGCCGTGTATGAGTGGGTGGTCGCTTCGGGCCCACGGGCCCGTCGGGTAGCGTCCACGACCATACACTGTCTTCTAGCGCTTTGATGTGGCGCGCAAGTGCGTCTGATACAGAGGCGTTAGTGCGAGCGATGGACTCGAGTCTAGATTTTTCGTTGGCAAAGGATATGACCTGAGACAAAAGGGTGATCAGTGATTCCGGAATGCAGTAAAGGTCCGGGTACAGAGTCTTGTTCCAGCGACCTTGGATCTCTAGGTGGATATCGTTGTAGCCGACTTCGGCGCTCTTCTCAAAGGCCGGGTCTAATCCGGTGTTTAGAGTATCCTCCGTAATGCTGAATCTCCGAAGAGGCACAGTTGTTGCCAATGAGTTCTGATGTTCTTGCCTACTCGCGTCGCCGCCGGCTCCTTCGCCGGATACGGCGATGCTCTCGGCCACGATGCGGAGATAGGTGTACATGTGATGCAGGATGCGGACCTTGAACGACTTTTTTCGCATTGATAATCCGCGGAGGCGTATTATGTGCTCGGCATCGACGAGGAAATACTTGAATCCACCTGCTCCGTTATATAGCTGTTCATAGCTCTTCTAGTTAGAAAAGGATATGGAAAAGATAACAAAACGCAAGGGCGACAACATATCAGGGTACACCTGTACATACAGATACCATAGCTACTGAGAGAATAGCCATTAAAAGATCTTTATACTCTGCCTGTCTTGGTCCGCTGGTCTCCGCCTTGAGTGCCATTTGAAGATGCTGCTTCGAAGCCCTTTGGTGTCTCGCTGCGATATCCAACCAACCGGGGCCTGAATAATCTGGCCTCTGGATGTGATGAAGCTGATAGGCACTATTCGCCAACAGCGCGTAGAGGATGGTGGACCGGGTATGCGATGCTTCGTTCCAAAGGGAAATCTCGGCGAACGTTTCTAGAGCCCGCGGCAGGAACAGAATCTGCCAGGGAGACTTGCGTCTCGCTTGCATGGGAGAAGTAGGATCGGTGATGCGCTCTCTGTAGAAGCGAAGAAGGGGTTCGGCATGTTCTGGAATACTCGATGTTCCTCCACTAAGATTTCCACAACGCTGCGGAGATAGTGATGGCTGAATGGAGGTGAGAGAGAGCCCCCTACTGTCTGCGACTTCTTGCCGTAAGCTCCCTTGGCTACCCAAGGTGGTGGGGTATGCCTGGAGCTGCTCTCCTTGTATGGGTTGGTCGTTCGGGAAGGCAAAATCTAGGAAAGGGAGGTCGAAAGCCCCGAAATTGATACCATTATGTCCACCTTGGTAGTAGTCGTCGTCGTCGTCACACAACCCGGACTGAAGATCGCCAACGAGCGCATCCAGACTCATACCGACGGCCTGGCTCTCACAAGGATCTCTGGGAATCTCTTCAATGGATTCTCTAGCCCCATCACTAAGGGAAGAGCAGGGAAAAGAGGCCAAAGTCTCAGCAGCCTCAGCAGTCTCAGCAGTCTCAGCACGGGTTACGACACTATAGGTGAGAGAGGAGTGCACAGTGGACCTTGTGGTGGTGGAGTTGGGGGTAATTGGTCTTCGAGAGTCAAAAACGCTGAACGGTCCTATCCTAACATCTCGGATAACCTGGTCCTCACTGTCACGTTTTTCGCATTCTGCGTCGAGACCGAGCAGCACGTCCATGGCTGTGCGGTCGCCTATGCTCTCGCTAATCTGAAGGCTCATCTGGCAACGATCGGGCTCTTTGGAAGGGGTTAGCAAGCAATAGGCCACCTCGCTAACGTCTCCAGCCGACGACTTCCTTTTCTGACTCAGACCCAGCCGACAGACGGAGGCTAGCTCTGTGTGTCGGGACCGAGTTGTGAGGTTCCAAGGTGGTTCCACGGCCGAATTAATCTCGGAAAGAAAGTGGCTTACCAGTAAAAAGGGGGTAGCGATAGGAGCCGCTCCGATGAGCTTGATCGCCACACGAGACTGAATCGCCCGCTGAGCCTGCCGACCCGCCGTCCCGCCAACACAACTGGGGTTCGTATCCTTCGCAAACGATGCCGAGTGTCAGGCAAGCTCGGCAAGCCGGCTGCGCCTCGTCACATTTCGCGTGCCGGCTCCGGCATGTCCTGCAGCCGGTGAACGTACGGGATCGCAGGCCTTTCGCAATATCAGCCATGGTGGGGTGATGGTTAATAGGCGGGCTGAAGAACTCTTTTTCCCCTGTATTTTACGGGTCACGTCGCTAGGATAGGTTTTCCTTGAGAGCTTCCCCGCAGCGATATTGGGGCGCCGTCAGTGCTGTCAAATCGGTTTGCAAATCGATATGGAGACCGACTCTCGGCCATTGTGCCGCCGCAGTGGCAGACAGAATCGGTATTTATTAAAGAGGAAAGTTTCCGCGGCGCTGGCGTGCGGAGGAGATAAGCGCTCTCCGGTTTGGGTTAGTGCCAATGGAACTTCTGAACATGCTGCCCCGTTGGTTGTAGATCTGTTGTGTAGTTCCAAACGTTAGCGAATACTTACTTGAAGGTTACCAGAAACGTTGTGAGTAGAACTGATACATTAAATTACCTGATGGAACATATTTAATAAAGGTATTTGATACATTGCTAGTTTGTGGAATACCTGAAACAATTGTCGAACTCATGATGGCTCTCAAGAACCTGGGCCATTTCGAACACTCCATACAAGTAGTGTAGTGGGTAAGTACCCTTTACGCGTAGTATGTATATAAAATATACTTTCGAATTTGACGTGGGTTGTAGTGCCTTCGCACAATTGCAGATCCTTGAAAGGGACATACTGAGGCACAGTTGGTAGGTTGAACATTGCTAGAGTGTAAAAGGTTGTGGTATGTATAAAGCTTTCTTATAACAAATCATCCGCTGCCATAGCCAGGCCATAAACAGTAAATTTATACGATATCCCCGAATTGCGCCTGCTCTATGTGCGTGACCGTTATACAGAACGATATGGCACTAACATTCCGGAGCGCAACCATGGTCTGGAGAAGAGCGTCTCTCTTCTCACAGTATCGGAGCTTCTCCTCAGCGCGGTGCCTGCAACATCGAATTAAGTACTTTGGGAATGAGCCTGCCTGTCCCGAAGTGAAAACGGCTCTTCCTGGTCCCAAAGCCCAAGCTGCGACCAAGAATCTAAACAAGGTCTTCGACACTGGGAGCTTGAACCTCTTGGTGGACTATCGCAGGAGCACAGGAAATTAGTAGGATTCGACCTTTCTTCCACGTCGCGAGAGTTAGTTCTAGACCCCTTCTTGCTAATAACGGACATCGTTTGCCAGCATTGTCGACTGCGACGGAAATGTCTTCCTTGACGTGTTAGTAACCCGCCCCCCCCCCCCCCCCCCCCCGGCTTTTTTTTTTTTCCCGTCGAATCTGTCGAAACTATCGCGGCGCTCTTCTTTTCTTTTTCACTTCCTAGCTAACTGCTATTTGATATCCAGCTTTGCCCAGATATCCTCTATCCCCCTCGGATATAACAATCCACGCTTGGCGAAGGCTGCATCGTCCCCAGAGATGGTCAACGCCATCATCAATCGTCCAGCGCTAGGACCTTTCCCGCCTGTTGACTGGGCCGAAATTCTCGAGACTGGCCTACTCCGCGCTGCCCCAAAGGGACTGGACCATATATTCACGGCCACCACCGGTTCGGACGCCAATGAGACCGCCTACAAAGCTGCATTCATCTGGCGGCGAACACAAGAACGCAACGGCGCCCCTTTTACGGAAGAGGAGCTTGCTTCTTCCATGGAGAACAAGGCCCCCGGAGCTCCTAGCTATTCCATCCTGAGTTTTTCTCGCGGTTTCCACGGCCGTCTGTTTGGCAGTCTCTCCACCACCCGGAGCAAGGCCATTCACAAGATCGATATTCCAGCATTCGATTGGCCCGTTGCGCCCTTCCCCAGGTTGAAGTACCCGCTGGACCAGCACGCTGCCGAGAACGAAGCCGAGGAACGGCGCTGCCTGAGCGAGGTGGAGCGTATCATCGACAGCTTCCCAAACCCCGTCGTAGCGGCCGTCGTCGAGCCCATCCAGTCCGAGGGTGGTGACAATCATGCCTCGCCAGCCTTCTTCCGTGGGCTTCGTGAAATCACGAAGCGAAAGGGCATCTTGCTTATTGTTGACGAAGTGCAGACTGGCGTTGGCGCAACTGGCCGCTTTTGGGCTCATGAGCACTGGGCGCTGGAGACGCCACCTGATATTGTAACATTCTCCAAGAAGGCTCAGGCAGCGGGCTTCTTTTTCCGAGACCCCTCGCTTCGCCCCGATAAACCTTATCGCCAATTCAACACTTGGATGGGGGACCCTGCGAGAGCCCTGCTATTCCGAAGCATTTACGACGAAATCAAGGATAACAACCTCGTAGAACAAGCTGCCCGCGTCGGTAACTACCTATATACTAAGCTGGAGGAGCTAGCTCGTCTCTACCCCCTCGAGATAGAGAACCTGCGTGGAAAGGACCGCGGAACTTTCATCTCGTGGGACAGCCCTCGCAGAGACGAGATCCTGAGGAAAGCCAAACTACACGGCGTCAATATGGGTGGCAGCGGCGACAGAGCGATCCGGCTCCGGCCAATGTTAGTATTTGAAGAAAAACATGGTGAGTCCGACATGAGTGCCGTGGTTGCCAATTTCGTTGCATATCCTAGGCGCGGTGATCCTTTTGCCGTATTTTTTCTTTTTCTTTTTTTGCTGACTCTCTATAACCCCAGCCGATATTCTGGTCGATGTTCTGGGGAAGGTATTCAGAGATTGAAAGTGAGAATTAATACGGCTCATGTTAGTTCTTGGGGATTACGGGACTATGGAAAGTAGGCGAAAAAATATAGAGAAAAAAAAAAAAAGAAGAAGATTTGCTGTTTGATAGAAGAAATTCTGCATTTGGCTAGAAGAGAGCCATCCTACACATAAAATAAGATCATGGGCTTCGTATTACCGCGAGGTTGCCTTGATGGGGCCAAAGGGCGTATACATCGAAAAGTACGATGGGCGACAATGAAGTTTTAAAGCAGTGCCTCTGATTACGCAATCGACTCAATCGAAATTGATCGATTTGACGTAGAAAAGCTGCGGGCGGCATATAAAAACCTCCGCTGCCTGCGCTCTTTACAAGACACTCCACATTCTTTCCCGCACCACTTACTAGGATTCTCTCTCAGCATCGACGATATATATTAACTAGCAACTCACTCAGTTGAAAATTGACGAACGCCATGGCCAAGATATTTTTGTAAGCTCAGCTACCGCCCTAGGCCTTTCGGCCACATACCTCTCTTACAACTTACAACGAAAGCTAATTGTGTGTAAGGACTGGCGCATCCGGCTACATTGGTGGCCAAGTACTCGCCGGGCTCGTCAGGAGCGAAGCAAACTTCACCATCAGTGCTCTCCTACGCGACCAGGACAAAGCCAATATTGTCGCGAGAGCATTCCCTAATGTCAACCTGGTTTTAGGCGACCTAGATGATGTCGATATCATCGACAGGGAGGCTTCCAAGGCGGACATTGTGCTACGTAAGATGCCTTCCTTACCCCTTTTCTTTTCCCACAGTTTTTCACTGTTCGAAGGCCGGAGGGCCGTACTAAAATGAAGGAGTCTAGATCTCGCTGCGACAGGGCACATGAAAAGTGTGCAAACGATTCGTAATGCTCTCTCACGGAAGGACTCCACCACGGGCTGTAGGTCGATGCGGTTTCCATTCCCCCCTCTCTTTCCCGTTTCCCCAACTGCGACACGACGCCTAATCGATGAATTCTACTTTAAGCCTACTGGGTTCAAATATCTGGCGCTTCGGCCCTCGCGGCACCGGAGCTAGCTTCTTCGACTTTCGTACCAGGTGCCCCGTCGGCCGAAGTCTTCGATGATGTCGCCGACGTTGCTCGAATCCGCGAGCTGCTCAGAGCCCACCCCAGTCGAGCGGTCGACAACTTTGTGCTAGACGTCATGGCCGAAGACTCCGGCATCAAGGCGGCAGTAATATTCCCGCCCGTTGTCTACGGACTAGGAGAAGGCCCCGTCAACAAACGTAGCGTCCAGATCCCTTCGCTAGTTCAAGCCACCGTTGAGCGGGGACACGCCATCACGGTCGGCAAGGGACTTAGCCGCTGGGGCAACGTGCACGTAAGAGATCTGGGAAAGATCATTGTCTCCTTGGCCATTGAAGCTGCTAGTCGACGCCCCGATGAGCGCGTATGGGGCCAGGATGGCCTCTACCTCTGTGGCGTTGGTGAGATGGTAAGTAGAAAATTGTACAGGTTTAATTCTCTACCTTGCATCTTTTTTGCACCCCCCATTTTTGTTGCTTAGGCTAGGTTGACCGACCATTTGCAATGCTTACAACAGAGCTTTGGAGAGATCTCCGACAGAGTAGCAGAAGCAGCAGCGCAGCAAGGTCTAATCGAGGCAAGCGGCTCGGCTGAAGAACTCGACAAGGCGGAAGCTGATGTTGCCCTTCCCCATGGGTCGATTCTTTTCGGGACGAATGCCAGGAGTAGAGCGCGTCGTGCGCGAGAGGTGCTGGGCTGGGAGCCACGAGAAGAGGGCCTAGAAGCGGAAATTCCAAGGGCCGTAGCCGAGGAAGCAAAGCTATTGGCTGAAGGCGGATCGTCCTAGGGTGGCCGGTGTCCCATGTCGGGCGTAGCTATATTTGGCAAGCTTTGATACGCGAGACATATGTATTTAGAATATGATAGTCTCGCAGCCATGCCGAATCGCTATCGAACACAGCTTTCGTACATGCAAGATTTACTGTCACAGGCATAACCCAGAAATTGAGAAATCGTGCACTCCACACCCAACCCTTCCCCAGCACTACGGGGTTAAGATCCCTACTTTGTCGAGATGAGGGTGGGGTGGGTGCGGGGACGAGAAGGTGGGCCGGTCTTGGTTGTATCCTCTATCCTCTTACTCCGTTGGTGCCGTTAGGCTTTATGAGGCAACTGCACGAAACGCACTCGGTGCAGTATGAAACAGGCATGGCTCGGCAGATAGCGGGGGCTCATCCGAACCCCTCCTTCGTGGCCACTTCTTTCTTTGGAAAGTTTCCGCTGAAAACGTGGTTGCCACCAAAGTCTCGCTAGGAATGGAATTTTCCGCCGCCATTATTACCGTGGTGACTTGCTCCAGAAACTATACCACGCATTGATAGCACGAAGACACGAAGGAGTCGGCACAAATCATACAAACTCAGCCCCGTCTACCTCTTAACCAAGGGTTTAATGCTGTTACGTCGTCCCTCCCATACCCTTACCTCAGCCTAAGCAGAGACGCTCAACCATATCATTGGCTCCATGATGGCAAGCCTCTCAGTCGAATTGATTGCTCCTAACGGGGTAAAGTACACTCAACCAACCGGCCTCTTTATCGGTAATGAGTTCGTGCCATCTGTAGATGGCGGTACGCTCGTCTCGATCGATCCTGCGTATGTGTCACTCACTCATACATGTACAACTGCACATGTACACGTATACAATATACCATTCCCGAGAACAGAAAATTGACCCCATGGCTTTACAGCACTGAGAATGAAATTGCAACTGTCCAGGCCGCTGGGGAGCGTGATGTTGACGTTGCCGTCAGGGCAGCGCGTGAAGCTCTCAAACATCCCTCCTGGAAACTGCTCCCAGTTGCGGAACGCGGGATTCTCCTCAGCAAACTGGCGGACCTCATAGAAGAGAATCGCGAGCTCTTTGCCACGATTGATGCCTGGGATAACGGTGAGCACCAGCCCTTTTCCTTCCCTTCTATTTTTTTTTTCGAAGCTTGTTACGCCGAGAATAAAGCAGAATTGACACTCTTCGAAACAAAGGGAAAACCTATCAGGAGGCGTACGATAACGATCTGGTAGAGGCTATCGGCGTCATTCGTTACTATGCAGGCTGGGCAGATAAGGTCTTTGGCCAAGTCATCAGCACCAATCCTCAAAAATTTGCCTATACGCTTCGCCAACCGATCGGAGTGGTCGCCCAAGTCATCCCGTGGAACTATCCGCTCTCCATGGCGACTTGGAAGCTCGGCCCGGCCCTCGCCTGTGGAAATACCGTTGTTCTCAAGGCCGCGGAACAAACCCCTCTTAGCATTCTAGTCCTGGGTACCCTGATCAAGCAAGCCGGCTTCCCTCCTGGCGTTGTAAACCTCATCAACGGCCTTGGATCAGTAGCTGGGAGCGCTCTAGTAAGCCACCCGCTCGTGGATAAAGTCGCCTTCACCGGAAGTACCAGTACTGCCAAACTCATCATGGCTCAAGCGGCAAAGACGCTGAAGAATGTCACCTTTGAGACCGGCGGCAAGTCTCCCTTGCTTGTTTTCGATGATGCGGATATCGAGCAAGCCGCAAAGTGGGCGCACCTTGGCATCATGTCGAATCAAGGTCAAATCTGCACTGCGACCTCAAGGATCTTGGTCCAGGATGATGTCTTCGATCAATTCCTCGAGCGCTTCCGAAATACATTGGAGACGGTTAGCAAGGTTGGCAACCAATGGGACAATGATACCTACCAAGGACCCCAGGTATCAAAAGTGCAGTATGACAGGATTCTCTCCTATATCGAAGCCGGCAAGGCGGAGGATGCAACCGTGGTGGCTGGCGGAGGCCCATTGAGTATCCGCAATGATGGAAAAGGATTTTTCATTGCCCCCACGGTATTTACAGACGTTTCAACCTCGTCTACGATTTGGAGAGAGGAGATATTCGGGCCGGTGGTTGTCATTGGTAGATTTAAGGATGAGAACGAAGCTGTGATGTTGGCGAATGATACCATATATGGTCTTGGCGCTGCCGTCTTCACGAGAGATCTGGAGCGAGCGCACCGTGTGGCAGCGGAGATCGATTCTGGTATGGTGTGGATTAACAGTAGCCAAGACTGCGATCCACATATACCCTTTGGAGGATATAAACAAAGTGGAATTGGTAGGGAGCTTGGAGAGTCTGGATTGGAAGCCTACACGCAGGTGAAGGCAGTCCACGTCAACATGGGAACGAAGCTATAGTGTAGGTGGTTAGCTTCAATAAGATGGATGCATCTGCGAGGAATGTCTACAAGCGCCAAGGCCGTAACCTTAGGAATTTGTTAGGCATGATAAAAACACTTGATAGAGCTTTTTAGGGATCAGGAATCTGATCTTACTGCTTACGGGTGTAGATGTCGCCCGGCGAGGAAGCCGCGTCTCGGCGTGACTCATTTGAGACTATAAGTCCGAAACGGGCTGAGGGATCCTCCCCCTTTAGAACCCTCGTTGGCTAGCACAAAGTAACAAACTTCGGTCCGACTAGAAAATGAGGTTAATATCCCTCTATAAAGGCTCAAAGGAGGCCAACCGGCGCGCAACATATTGAGTTGGAACCGACTTGAGTTCTCAAGAACAACACACCCCACACTCGTGCTTCCCTCCTGCCCGCCAAACGTGACCCGATTGAGTGGCCCGATAAGAAGGCGCCCAAGAAACATCAAGACTCGTCGAAGATGTCCGAGAACAACCAGCCAAAGCCACGACCAGCAACGCCGCCACATCATCCAACCCACAATGTGCGTCTATCAGAGGGAGCCTTGGAGCGAATCGTCTCCGAGGTCTTTCGCGGGGCCAGCTCGCATTCTGCCCAGCAAGCGCCGCAGGGGACCTTCTTCAATAACCGCATCTACTTCCTAACTGTGAGTCACCCTCTGGCCCGGGATTACATTGGCCCCGGGCCCCGCCCCGACGGCGAGAGTGTAGAACTCGTCGTCAAGGTCATGGGCCAGTACTGGGGGGCCGAAAAGGTCCAGAACGAGGTCGCCTGTCTTTGGCTTCTGGAAAAACATTGCCCGACGATACCATCGCCCACCGTGGTCGCCTGGTCTGAGGACGCCCGCTCGGTGACAGTGGTTTCTCCCGACAGGACCAAGCTCAGGCGATCAGTCCTCCAAGTCCCCCAATCCGAAAGCGATGCGGAGCATCAGTCACTGGGGTGGATCATGACAACGAAACTTCCTGGGCGGCCCGTCTCAAATTTCGAACTAAGCCCCGAGGAAGAAGTAGCCGTCGGAAAGGAGATGGCTCGAATTGCGTCGACCTGGAGGACTTCTATCCCGGCAGCCGAGTACTGCGGCAACATTCGTATCCGGTTCGACGAGGAGGGCTCATCGAAGGAAGAGGTCCTGTCTGACCGTACCGATACTCCGGGGTCAAACCTCACCGTGCTTGGGCTGCTGCCAGATGGGGACCATGTAAAGGACCAGTGTCCCACGAGGCTCGATTACTTCCGCGCCAGGTTTGGCGAGAAGCTCGCCAAGCTCGAGACGGCCCCGGTGTTCGCCCGTAACCTCGATCTGTCGAAGCCGGTGCGCGACTTGCTGTCGGTCAGCCTTCCCAAGCTTCCGGTCGCGCAGCAAAAGGGCAGCTTCGTCTTCACCCACTATGACCTCTCGCCCCGCAACGTCCTCGCCACGAGAGCGGCCGAGCGCGGAGGCGAGCTGACCATTTCGGGCATCGTCGACTTTGAGTTTGCCGGCTTCTTCCCTCCGCTGGAAGAGTTTGTCAACGACTACGTCGAGAACAGCGGCGACTGGCCCGACAGGATTTACCGGGCTTACCTCGAGTCACTCGCGGAGCGTGGCATACCAACCCCGGACCGTGGGTGCGATAGTCAGGTATGGAGGCAGGCGTACCTGCTAGGCCTGTTGGAGAATAACATAGCTCCGTGGAGGCTATTGGGCGGGCTATCGTTACAGGAGTCTCGTCGATTACTTGACGAGGCAAGAAACGAGGTCCGCAACGCTCTTGATGAGCTTTCGGCTATGACAAAGAGGGAGATTTAGTGGTATCACGCGTAGCCATACAACATTGATCCAAATCGGCTTGCATTGTCTTGGTGGCGGTGCTTTACTTGTCAACTATCGTGACCCCGGTTGGGGTAGTATCCTGGTACATCTCTGACGCCCAGTGACGATGCTGCATTCGGACCAATGCATGGCCACAATATTTGGCGACGGTTTACATCATCCTGCTCTTTAGGCTTTAGAGGAGTAGCCATCACCTGTAGAAGACGGCAGTGGCGGCTTTAGAGCCATTGCGCTTTCTATCGCGTTTGATGAGGAGGGTACAGAAGTCGAGACAGTGGTCTCACTAACTGAGGTTACAAAGAATGCTCTGGTCCGGAACCGTCATCGCGAGATTTACCTACTCTGCAGCTTTTTGGCAACGAACGTCCCAGTTCCAGGGATCTGCCCATCCTGGGTGATCGAGTCCCCGCATGCTCACAAAGGTTGCCTGTGCGCTAAGCGTAATTGGCGCGCAGCCTGTTTTCGGAAGAATATCGCCCCGAGATTACGCCAAGGCTCTCTTCCCGCAACAGTAGCCCTTCTCGAAACCGGATCCCCAGACACTGAGCCGCAGCCAAGGCAAGCACAGAATTATATTTGACATCAATTCCTGGAAACCATGGCTTCGTTGGCGTAATCTATCTTCGAAGCTGGGACCAAACCCGAACACTGAACAGGTACCGCAAATATGGACAGACTTACCCAGGGTCGTGATGACTCGGAGTGCACCACCTCGTCACGGGACTGGGCGATGCTCATCATTACCGTCTTCTCCATCAATGTGTCCTGGTGGCTTTTTGATATCCCCTTGCTTTGGACACACGGCCCGCGACGATATCTCAACTCGGTAACTTGGCAATGCTTCCGAACGTACGCGCCAGGCTGCGCAGCCGTCTACGCGCTTATGAGTGCGCATACCTCGGAGGAGGAGCCCTACGTGTACTACATTGGGCCCTTTTTCGACGAGCTTCCACAGGATGGAGTTGGCGCCACCGCCAATCCCGGACTGCAACCCAGCGTGAATGAACTGCGGAGACAACAACCCCGACGAATCCTCACTCTCTTCCAAATCTCCAAATACCTCATCATCGATTCCCTCGCCATCATCTCCACCGGCTTGACCGTCCACACAGCCATCAACCTCCCGGCTGACGCGCCCGTTTCCGGCATCGCCCTATCCACATGGGCGTACCCTTCCCTCCCCGTCGCTCTCCTGGGGCTCTGGCTGCTCCTCTGTGGCACGTGGTTGAAATGGAGCAGGAAAATGACTCTCTGGCTGGGTCTCCTTCTCATCCTCGCCGTCGGCGCCGCCACCATCACTCCCCTCATCACCTTGTCGGAAGCCGGGAAGCGCAGCAAACTCTGGATCCCCGCGATATTCGGCTACGTCATCATGGCTCTCCCCGTATACCTCATCGCCAAAGGGCCACTTTTCGTCATCGGCATCGGTTTTGGGTTCATCTTCCGCGTCGGCGGAATAGGGATCGGCTCTCTCTCGCCAATGGCGTATTTCCCCTTTTGCCCGCTACGGCATAAGGCTTTTGGGGCGACGTATCTCGCCGTCGGCGGTCTCGGGGCAGTATTGGCCATCGGCGGGGCGGCCAAGTACCTCCTGAGAGGATTGCCTAAGAACCCGAGGAATCGGGGGCTTTTTGGGCAGCATCAAGATACTGCCAATCCAGGTGGAACGAAGATAGAGGGTAGTAATCACGGGAACGGGCCTCACGCTGGGGTAGTATAAGCATTTTTCCAAGCCCTTCGTGTGCAGTTGGCACAATGGCGGGGATCCTAGGCGTCGTGGCATTCAAACGACAGCAAGTTCAGTTTCACTTATTTATCTGTTTATCTTTTTTTTCTTCTTTACAGTTGCCCTAGTCATGCTTTTCGGGGCCGCGCCGATGCACAAAAAGTGAGAGAGAACAACGTCATGATGATTCCTGCCAACCATAATCGAACGCCCGCGTTCTCGTGAGCAGAGCGCGGTAAACCAAGAATGATGAAGAAGAGGAAAACAAGCAAAAAAAAAGGCCGAAAAGTCCGACAAGGGCAACGAGGAACAATATATACAGGCGGGACAAGGGCTCCGAGTCAATAACTTTCTCGTAACCAAATACCGAGTGCCGTCCCGCGCTGCCTTCCGCGTCCTCCAGTGTTTTACTAGGTAGACACGCCGCCGCATAAAGACCGTGACAAACGCGAAATGAACCGGGCAAGCGTACCAAGGCCCCATGGGCATAAGCAATTTTGCGCATTCCTTTCCATTGTCGGCATAAAACCACCGCAGAAAGGCTGATCCAAGCACAATCTCACTATGATCCTATTTAAGCATGCGAATGAACAGAATGGCCGCAACGCAATGGTTAGGTCCCGGTGACATGAGAGAGTGGTCGTATGGTGAGAGGGTGAAGTCTTTGCCCGCCAAGTTGAAGGTGATGCCCGGCATAGATGGCCACTGATCGCAGCTCGCGGATGATGGCAGCGCTGACACATCTCTGAACCGAAAGTTGTCGATCGAATCAAACGCGAGGATGTCAGAGAGATGTGCAGGCCATATCCGCCCGGAACCAAACCGTCATTACAGCAATCACGTAATGTAGTGTTGAGTCTGAACCAGTGACAGGGTCTTTGACCATTGTCTGCTCTTTCTTCAGCACACAAATGCTCTTCAGACTGAGCGACGCCATCCACGCAGGTTTTCAGAGATAAGAGGTCGACCTTCATCCAGAACAGTTGCAGAGAACTGCCAATTCCTATGTCAACAACGACGACGGGATCGGACTTGAAGGTTTGCCGAGGAGGAAGCTTGAGTGTGGTCATTAGTCCAGTCGGATTCTGTGCATGCGATGACGCGGCTTGTTCGGAAAAGAACACTTCTTCCAGCGGGAGCTTGCGGCAATGTCCTCACTCTGAAAAAAAAAAAAAAAAAAAAAAAAAAAAAAAAAATCCACCGACCAGCGGTCTTTCTGAGATGCCCGGCCGGTCTGTCCAAACATGACAAAAGAGAACACGCCGAGAAAATCAAATCTTGGCTTTCAATCTTAATCTTAATACGTATTCCGACTTCACCAGGAGATTCAGTGTCGCTCCCCCAACACTTCCTAAAAGAAGCGGTGACAATTTTGCAGTGGTGGACACAAACGATTCGCGCATGGCGGGTTGATTTCAAGGCCGTGATGCGTCATGGGGTCTGCTACATTCCGCCGGTTTTCCCGTATGCTGGCATGAGAAGCATTTGGACAGATGAATATTTGATGTACTTCGGTCTTCTAGGGGATTCCTGCAGCATGGCCTCCGTTTTCGTGACGACGCAACCGGCCAGCGACAGTTGGCGAAGCTTGCATGAAGGGGCTGTACGATTGAGCACGAAAGCGTTTAAGGTCCATTTTAGTCATTCCCATGCGAGAGGCGCACCTCAGGAAAGCTGCATTCTATCCTCCATCATCCGTAACTACACGCGAACATTGAAGATATATTAATGCTTATTCGGGCTTTCATACATTGGCATTCTTAAGTGATTTCCTTCGCTACTGCCTGTGTCTCCCCGTAAACCCTGTTGACGGCGGCCGTTTGGCGGAGTGGGACGATTAGCCGTCGACAGCCGATTCTCACAGAAACCACCACTTAAGGAATCTTAATCACTGCCATTTCCATCTGTACCAGCGTTGCTGTCACCATTGTTTGCCTCCATGCTCACCCCCGCGTCCTTCTGTAGTTTGGTCGTGTCGGCGACTATCGGCGGATCAGACGCTACTTCCATGCTCTGCAAAAGGCGCTGCAGGAATGATTCATGAGGCTCATGAGGGATCCGACGGTGGAGGATGTCGAGATCAGTCGGGACGGGCGGCGCCTGAGTTGGGAAATCGAATCTCTCGAGAAATGCGACGGTGGGGTGGGCCGTGTAGAGGTTAACGTTGTCATAGTTGTTGCTCTCGGCCATGAGCAGGTGGACCTGTTCAAACGCCTCAGGTTAGAGTACAGGCAAACAGGAAAAGCGAGGAAAAGGGAGGGGGAGGGAAGTGGTAGGGACTGACCGTGAAGCGGTAGTTAGGATCGTAGGCCTTCTTCCTCGATTTCTTGCCTTTGTGCAGCCTCTGGCGTGACCTCTGCTCCTGAGCCATGGCGATCAGCACCGCGACCAAGTAAGGGTCGTGATGACGCTCCTTTGGCTTGATTTTCCGGAAACGCCGGCTCTGTATGCCCTTGCCGACCGGGTTGGGGAGACCGAAGTTGTTTGATCGCTGACGCAGGTAGTCGAGGCGAAACCCGGCAATCTCACTCGAGTGCAAATACCCCAAGTACGGAAAGACCGAGATTGGTTTTGCGGCTGGGCCTGGGCCGGTCTTGCGGTAGCGGAATAAGACGCAAGGCCTGGTAAGTACGCATCGTCCCTCGAAGCGGAAATGGAAGTAGGTCTGGGATTCGAGACGACTAGCAGATTGATGGTCAGCAAGGAAACAGAATCAGCGGTCAAAGTCGAAACCAAAAACCCAGGCCGGAGGGGGTAGAAGGCAGGCTGAGGTAAGACTTACTGCCAACTTTCCAAGGGACTCCCTGGAGTATCGAAGAGTGTAATAATCCCAACTTGCTTCGTCGACGCGTTGCCAGAAAGCACAAACCATTTCACCCGTTTGAAGTATAGTCCATTGGCTTTATACTGCAGCTGCAGTTGCTGAGCCGAGTGGAGATTTGCATCCACTACTCCTCCCACCCTCTCTATGTCTGTGTCTGTCTCTCCTTTGAAGTGGCAGCCTAAGAGAGTTAGGTGAAGATCTGTCCATAGGATCGGGCGGACAAGAAGCCTCTCTCGCGGATATAGCTTCATGAGGCCGTAGATGGATTGCATTCCTAAGGTGCCATTAGGTAGAGGTGATGTCGGGTCCTGGGCCTTTTCAGCCATGCCATCAGATCCTTTATCCGTCATTGCAATAATGAAGAAAGGCAAAAAGACGTACAAAAATAGAGATCTGTATTGTGTAGAGGAAAAGCTTGTTGGGCTCAAGGGAAAACACATGAAAAAGGGCATAATTGGCAGGATAAAGATGATCCTATGTGTGAATTGAGGGTGGAAAAAACCACACACAGGACTGATCTGGTGTGGAGCTAGATCGACTTCCAACATGGCAGGGCCGCCTGCCTGTGTGGTGATAGTCTAGATTCACTTGTAAGTGCTTTGGGCTGCACCTTCCTGTTTATGTTTTGGGATGGAGCTTGCTTTCTCCTCTGCATTTTGAGATCTCAACTTCCAAAGCTCTACCGGCAAGTTTCTCTTACAAGAGACTCCCTGGTTCTACCTCTCCAGCATCCTTCCGTTTATATAAGCAAACTACAGCATCATTATTGCCGCGACCCGCCTGCATTGCTCCCACATCGGTCCTCTGCAGAGATTTGCGGATAGTAGCTTTTCTGAGTTCTTTATTTCATAGACAGCTTCTTGTTGGGTTGAGTGTCTAGAGCTGATGTTGGATATGTAGAATAGAGTAATAGAGGGAGTTCCCCCAGTCCCCCAGTCCCTCCAGGCCTCATTCCATGCCATCTTCCAGAACTTGATAGTTGAATCTTGGATCAACGCATGTCGGCTCACCGCAACTCGCCCTCTCCAGGAGGAGATAACCCCGCGGTGTTAGACCAAGGAGACTCCTCCTCGGAGTTCAGCGAGCCCGCTCAGAAGGTTCAATCAGCGCCAAAAGCAGCTTTCTCCTACTTCAGTAATGTCACCTGCCGATCCCAGTTCAAGAGACATGTCGCCAAGGTAGGAGGCACTGGAAAACTTGCCGACATTCGAGCCGCCCGGGGCACAGATTCCGGGAGTAATTGGAGCACGGAACATTTATTTGGCTTTCGTGTCTTGGTGAAAGGCAAGGGTCCATGGAAGAGGACGCTGCCCTCTCTCAATAAGTACGTCACCCTCAAGAGCTTCCGTACCGTCTCTGATGAAATACGAAACTTCCTGGCCGGGCCCAGCGACGACTACTCTCGAATGACAGAGTACGAACTGGTCCACCGGTATGGCGTATCTCTTGGTCAAACCTGGGCCGCGGCGGCAAAGTTTGCCAACTCTTCCTTGAAAACTCCGACAACTACGAGCCCTCTAATTAGTGAGACGATGCCATGTGAAAAAGAGGAGGAGGAAGACGAGGAAGACGAGGAAGAGGAGGAAGAGGAGGAAGAGGAGGAAGAGGAGGAAGAGGAGGAAGAGATTGATAAGAGTGAGGAGAGCCGGTCCTCGAAGAAGAGGCCAGGAGAGTACGGAGATGTGGAGGAAGTGTCGACAAAATGCATCCGCATACAACGGCAATTCAAAAGTTACACCCCTTCCGGCCAAATAGACGTGGGTTCCACTTCTGCCCCCCCTTCAAGTTCGACACTTCCCTCGTCGCCCCCTTGCATTCCCAGCCCGGAAAATGTCAGCCACGGAGACGGGCCACGCGAGCAGGCAACCTTGCGTCTAGCCACTCTGGCTATACGGCACATTCTATATCATTGCCCTCCCCAGGACGGAAGTAATGTCAACGGCGCCTGCATCGAAGCGGCAGTGGACATTAGGGATGAGTACCTTCTGCGCAGGGCGCAGTTGTTCCATGGGAAATGGATCACTGCGGAGGACGATGGCGGCCTCCTTATCGTAAATAATCGAGAAGCCCTACACCACCAGAGACCGCTGATCCTTATCGAAGCGAAGAGGAGGTTTGGGAAGGTCGCCGACGGCCGCCCAGTCATTTCGAACGAGTGTCTCGCACAGATGACATGCGAGGCTCTGTCAGCGAGACTAGAGAGTCCGGAGTCCCCAGAAAAGTATCGCCCATCCTCCTTTTGTTATTTCTCTTCCTCCACGCTCCCCTTCTTCTATCCAACCCAACACTTTCTTTCTATACCTGCACTACATCTCTCCTACCCTGAATCAGAGCCGCTGATGTTGCACCAGCGTCGTTGTCATCAACTGTGTCCGTCAATATATGTGTTTTGTCAATTTTAAAATTGACCACGAGTACATCCGGTCCCTGAGGGACAAGGCAGACCATCTGGATAGTTTCATCAGGGTTATTCCCTCGGAGTGGCTCGACCTGATGGACCAGTCCGGCAGAGAAGGGCTCGTTCGGAATATCCACGGCATTATGAACTGGGCAATAGAAACGGTCGGGGGCGCGGCGGCTGACCCAGAAGATGCATCTTAATGTTAGGCCATCGAGTTCTCGTAAGTATTATGGAGAGAACATCTCTTTGGAAGAGGGAAATGGCGATCATGATGGAATGTCGGCTAAAGATACTCAACTGTTGTATGTAACCTCAGCATAACATGGACTTGGTGGTAAGTATGCAGTTGGGACCCCAATCTACCTGGTGAGTGTGAGTGGGATAAAAATTCAATCAGTCGTGGTGCGGCAGAGAGAGTTGGAAGTTAATAAAATGCCAGTAATCTGGAAGATAAACTCAAGGGAGGGAGATCGTTGTATGACTGATTGATGCGAAGCCGCTACTCTGTGTTATATCTGCAACAGCCGCCTCGAGTCACAATCTGAATCAAGTCGAGGGAGAGAGCCCTGCTTGAGCAAGCAGCGTGGCGCCTTGTCACCTGTACAACTTTTGCTCGACCGAGGAGCAGACGTGCGCTGTGGTGCGGTCGATTCGCCAGTAAGTGTTGAAGGCGCAATGGCTGCTTGGTAGATGCTGGTGCGGGTATCGAGGCGAGACTCTGATAATTGATAATTACCTTCTCTAGGCACCTAAACATGGTCTACCTTTTGATTTTAAGCCCGGTACTTTGAAAATGGAAGGTCTTATATTGCTCCTTCGTTCCGGATGCCACCCAATGGATGACAAAGGAACGACTGCCCTTCACCATCTCCTTCATCTCCATTCACAAAGGGACACCGTCAACGCCGGCGCGTATATACTCATGGGCTGCGGCATACCGAGGTATATCACGCGGCGACTGAGCATGAGAGAGGGCGGGGTTGGGGGGGGGAGGGGAAGAGTAAGCTTGAGAAAAGGTTAGGATTGGAAGATGAAGAGGGCCGTATTCAGTTTTGCCTCGGCCACACGAGATTGAAAAAATCACTAAACAACAGCCAGAATAGTGACTATGGTGCCGATGAATGGGCTCACCACGCTCACTCTGGGGACTTCAAAAAAGGAGTACGGTCTTGAGAGCTGGAGCAGAGATTTTCCAGCACACCAGTTCACCGAACCCTAGATGGCCGACCAAAAGAATCCCTGCACGGGAACCCCTCCCTGCTCGCAAGGGTCAGTGCACTTTACCGGGGGATCATCTTCCTACTGCGAGAGAGAGAGCTGAGCTGGCGTTGCATTTCGACTGTGAGCTTCCGTCCTTGTACGAGGGTCGTGTGCTCTCTCGGGCTTCGGAGAGAGACTAAAACTGTGGCCTCCATTTCCGGATTTCTGGGTCTGCTGCAGGCTTCATATTACTCTCCTTGTCGCCTGTAGGGGTTGAGCAGGCCGAGGACTTGGACTTGGGAGCTGCATGCAGGGAAGTGTTCTCGTCACACCCGCTCTGTTTGTCCTTGTCCTGCGCCCTACTTCAATTTGCCGTAGAATGTAGAATACGAAGGGCCGGGCGGGATACGGCGGACATTGGAGGCAGCCCTGTCGCGTAAGTACCTGCTCAGACTGTCACTTCTATCACGGACTGAAGAAAAGAAGTCAAAGATGCACTCTACAAAGGTAAAGCAAGACCTGCAGACACGGCTCGGTGGCGACATGGAAAACGCCATTAAAATTTGGTAGCTGACTTAAAGGGACGGAAGCAGTAACGAAAGGGAGTCGAGCACTGGAAGGACCATCATTCGAATCCACTCTCTCCACTCTCTCCAACTGCCTGCGTGGCTGGTCTTTGCAGCGCAGCCAGGCGAGGCCATGTCCTGTTCTGTCCTGTCCTGAATCACGCAGATGCAGTGTTACTCTTTACCCCATTCGCCCGGCAAGCCTCGGTTAATCAAATCCGTCCTCGAGAACAAAAGTACTTCGCACTCGGAAAAAGAACGCCTCTGGGCGTGAGGCGGGCCAACAGCAGATTTGCTTTTTCTAATGTTGCCAGCTCACACACCCACACACACTCTCACTCGACCTCTCTCGCTCTCCGACCAGGTTCGAGGGACAGGGCAGGACAGGAGGACAAAAAGGACAAAGGAACCGTGCGGCCAACCAGGGCGGAGTGATCAGGTCGTACTTGGTGCATCCTTGCCCCTTCGTAATGAAATAGAGTTAAATTAGCTCACGTCCGCCTCTCCCAACCCATGTTGGTGTCCCGCCCCCCTGCCGCGAGCGTTACCCCCGGCACGCAAGTACCCGTTCCCCGTCCCTTTCTTTTCTTTTTTTTTCTCGCACCACACTGTCGCATGGCACGTTTTTTTTTTAGTGCCATGTGAGAAATAGATCGGTCATTTTGCGAGTTGAAATCGGTCGGAAAATTTAGCGTCGTGTCGATATCCGCGAACTAAGAAGAGAGACGATTGACAGATCGCGGACACCGAGCAGAGGAGAGGAGGATACCTCGGCTTTCTGTGGATTCAAAAGCAGCGCCCGTCTCATTTCCAAATACCCAACTCGCACCTGTCCATGTTCATCCAATGCGGCAGTGATCCGACGCCTGTGGCAGTCCGTGTCACATTGGGTGGCGGCGGGCGGGCGGGGAGCACGGAATTCCTGGCAAAGCAAACAAACAACACGCATTGCTGATTGCTGAATGAAGCAGGTGGGCGTCCTCGATGTACATCTATTGTCTCCTGTCCGGGGCAGGCCGTGTGTCTCATGGAATTACTTCGCACAATGGCATTATTATTATTATTGGTTCGCCTGCTTCGTGCTTGGTTGTACGACAGCTTCTCCGCTCAAGCCACAGCAACCCACAGCGTGAGTGAACCCCCCTGTCGCCGCGGAGGTAGAAATAAAAGGAGACCCAGACGACACACGATCATTGTGGCCTGGGTTGGAAGAAGAAGAAAGGAAAGAGCGAAAAGCGAGATATATCCAGCCCTCCTCACGTGCACTGGAATGTAGAACCATGAAAGAATACCTCGTCGTTCGAAAGTCAAGCTCGCCACCCACTTCCTGCATTCACGGATCTGATTTGTGAGATGTGCAACACCTTCTTGGTTGGGTCTGTGCCATCCCAAGGCAGATTGGTGTTGGCTCTTCCTCTCGCTCCCTCTTGGCAACGGCCAGGCCAGCTGGGCTCTGCGCTGCATGCCAGGGTCCCCTGCTCATCATTTATTCGTATTATTGCTTCGTCCTGCTTACTTCAGTAAACGCCGAGCCTCGCCACTTGATGCTGTCTTTCCCCCACTCATTTTCTTTTCATTCTCGTCCAGTCCCCATCCATCAGTTCAACGTTGGTATGGCATCCTCATCGGAGCAGACCGGTGCGGGTGAGTTACAAAAACCCAAACGGGCCTGTCTGTGCATGTATTCGATTATCGCCGCCGTAGAACTTCTCTCCGCCCTACTTTCAGTAGGATTTAAGAAAAAAGAACAAAAAAAAAAAGAAGCTAGTATTGCGGATAGAGATCTCTGAAGGGGTCCCTTATCCCCGACGGCCAGACCATGCAGCCGGGAAACATTACTCCGCACAAGGCCTAGCACGTATGTAGACTAATTAACGGGCCTCGACATTTCGACTCCGAGCCGCTGTCTCGGTACTGACGAGTGACTTGGAATAGATGAGATGCAACCAGAGATTCCGCGGCTCGGGCTGTGATTGACGTGGCGCGTAGAGTGTGATGGATGGTCAGCAGTCAGTGAGTAAGGATCTCCCGGGCGGTTATCAGGGAAGCTCTCACCTGTTTCCCAAACCAATACCAATGAGCGGGTAAAATGAAAAGATGAATGGATCCTTGGGTCTGGCGATCCCCGTTCACAGGATGTCAGGGTTATGTACACTTACTCCTGAGTACCAAGGCGTTCAAGTATGTTTATGAGGACAGACTAAACTAGTACAGATGGGAAGCTGATGCTCGGCATGGGTACCGGGATCGTCGCCAAGAAAGTGGACGCTACTGTACATCCATGTAGGGCAGGGTTTCGTGTCGCCTTTTTTTCTGCGGTTCGCTTTTCCAGGCGGAAGAATGCTACATTAGTCTGTCCTGCTCGTTCCGCCAACCCAATTTGCCAGAAAAATAATTATTAACTTCCCCTTCCCTTCCTTGCCTTGGCTTTTCTCACCCCTCACTTCCCTCACTTCGACCAACGCTGCCTCCTTCGATTTATTTTTTTTTAAGTTCGGTTTTTGACATGCGTACACCTGAGCAAGTTCACTTCGGGGATTCCGTTAGTCCATCGACGACAGCAACGTAACCATGGTGGACGACTTACCACGTCAGGGGACGTGGATGATGCACGTGTATGAGGCACTCGTCACCTACGATGACTTCTTTCCCCAAGATTCCGGCGCAACAACATGCTGTGCGAAGCAGGAGACAGAAAAGGCACCACAAAAGAAACCCGCCACGGCTTCCCCTAGTCGGAGCCCTCGGAGTGATGGGGAGATCGAGTCATCAGCCGCCCCGACACTGGTGCAGACCCGTACGCCGGAGCGTCGTGTGCAAATCCCGACGCTAGTGAATGATAAATCGACAGAGGAGGATAATATCTCAACAGCAACGACGACAGCAAAATCAGCGGCGACGACAACCAAATCACCGACAACCACCCATGACCGGCAAGCGACGTGTCTATCGCCATCGCCATCGCCATCGCCAATCCCAAGTTCGGACAAGACCAGACCAAAGACGCAAATAAAGGAGGAAGATGGAGAGGTTGTCCACCTCCTCACGATACCCAAGAGGAAGAGGGGTGCACCTGACACCGCGGAGCAAAACAACGTGAAGAAATCCTGCCTCTCGCCGGCTCGAGAGGACACGGCCGAACCACCCGAACTGGTGGAGGTCGAGATCAAGCGTGAGGCGTGAGAGATGAGCTGGCATGGCCCTCGATTACCAGGAAACGGACCCGGGCCACACTCTTGGCCTGTCCCCCCGTCTGTGGAAGCGTCTGACACAATACTCTGATGGATATTTCGGGGTTATAGGATTGTAGGATTTTACCTGGAGGGATCTAGAAGGATGGATTGATCGATTCTCAAGGTTTCTTACGGCGTTTGTGTTAGCTATTACTGTCACCATTTGTGGTATTATCTTCCATTCCATAGAGCCGTTGATAATGCCCTTCTTTCGTCACACGACCACGGCCCTGGGTTAATGTAGATGCGGTACCAAATGTTATTTGGCAACTTAAAATGTCCCCAGCCTTTTTTACGCAGAATTCCATCTTCCTTGGGGTGCTAACTACGAGGGGATGAATGAGTCGCTACCTTTTTTTTTTTTTTTTTTTTTTTTTAACTCAAAATACAGAGGCGCGGGCGTGGATCTGATGACAGCACAATCCCGCAACCCGCAACCCCGCAATCTCAACTTCACTCCCCTCTTGTCTGCTTTGCAGCATGGCAGGGATGAGGTGGCTCGTTAGTTCTGGCGACCAGCTTTGCCCCTATGAAAGACATTGTGAGATCACCTGTCCTCAGGTGCAGGAGAAGCTCTAATGACAAGTGGTGATTTCTCCGGAAAACAATCATCATGTCTGTAGGAAGGGGTTGACTTGCTGATACTGGGATACGCATATTCATACACGTGATACGATGGTTTGTCGGCCCTGGAGTATCACTGTTTCGTTCGCAGTACTGTTTGAACGACATAGTGGTCGTCGACATCTGGATGGGCAATTCAACACGTAGGGGGAAGCCACTCGCGTAAAGGAAGGAGGCCGAAACAAATATGTCTAGACGCTTTTCTTAAGTAGTTATTAAACGGCAGGTACACCAACAGCCCAGAATGCCTTTGTGGGCCTCATGCTGGTTGGGCCCAGCTATCCGTTTCCACATGGGTTAGGGCTTGCCGAATGCCCATGGCCTACCATACTTTGACCGTGTTCCTGGCCTTGACGAATGATGGAATTGCCCTGACTGAAGAGAGGATGGGTATTTGAAGCAAGCACTGGGCTCCCTTCTGGTGAGGCCGTGTCTTGAAGTGGACTTTTTGCGAGCACTATGGTCACCTGGCGCCTCAGAGGCCTACCACCGTGATTTATATGTAGTACGAGGGCTTAGAATGGGGGCTGAAAATGACCTTTGCTGTAGGAACGAACATGAAGGGTGAATGAGCCTGCTCGAAGTAAGCCCAAGGCAGGTCGAAGTCCGGGCGGCGCTCACAAAGAACCCCGGGGAATCTCGTATATTGATCTCCTAGATGCAATGCCTCCCCGAGACTGAAGATAGTTCCGAAAACAGCCATGAATTGTCAAGCACCTTGAGCGCAAACTAGCCAACTCCAGAGCCAAGTCGGGTCCGTGGCTCATAGTACCCGTTGTCACCGGGATCGGTTGGCCATTCAAGGTTGGCCGGCTCCTTCTCTGAAAGGAAAATAGAAAACGAATCGCAGAACCGAACAAAGATCTGGAAAGAGCTGGGAAGGCCTTCCCCAGTGCTTCTTTCCTGAAAGGATATTAGAGATATGAATCACAAAGCTGAGCAAAGCCGTGGAAAGAGTCTCACAAAAGCCCTCTCCAGTGCTCCTTCTCCTTCACTACTGTTTATATACTTCCTGATTCACAATAAAATAAAAAACTCACCAGCTGATATCATGACCTCAGATAACTCAATTAAAAATCCCTTCGTTCCCTTCTTTTCTTCCTGTCTTCCTTCACCTCCTGTTCTAGCTATCCATCGTGGATTCTCCTCAGCCTTCGCGACCATCCCCAAGCACCCTCCAACGCATTGTGGAATGCCTGAAAGCATGTCCACTACAAATAAATTCAAAATGGCTGGATTTTCTTTGCCCTTTCCCTTTTTTCCTTTCCCTCGCTCCATCTTCGTGCACCCAAACGGTTCCGTCGATTTATCTTTCGAACCTCGAGAGCGCCAAAACAACCATACCCAGACCGTCATACCCACAAACGCCGAAGACACGGTTACGCTTGTAAATAGAGGAACCATCAACAACCGTAAGCGCTCAAACTCTCAACCCCAGAGTCCCACTTGTCGCCTACGAACTTCTAACCTTTCCCCCCATGATCCAGGCGTCGCAGTGCCGGTCCACCAGAGGCAGGCCACGGTTCCACATACCTCCATCAGTCTAGGGGTTTTCTACCGTGCCCAATTTAGAGACAACAGCCCGGAGAACAAGGCGATTCTTGAAATCCTCGACTTCAAAGGGCTCGCCCGCGATAGGAACACCAAGTTATACCGCGGCGCTGGCGTCTTTGTCGCCTTCCTCGCCATGTTGTGGTTTACTGGCGGTCGAGAAATCGTCCAGGATGTCTGCAAGAATAAAGAGTAGACGTCGGATCCTCAACGAAGGCTGAGTGGATGGCGAGAGTATTAGGTGTGTACACTACCTCATTCAAGCTTGCCTCGTTTTGCTCTTTTTCCCCTTTTGATTCCCATTTAGTGTCTCTTGCTGACATATCTAGACCACGATGCCAGTGCCGACCCTGCACCAATTGCTGGCATTTCACTCGGAATGCCATATCGACGGGCTCTCATTTCCGGCGCTCTCTCTGGTTGCACTTTGTCTGGATTAATAGGTCGGATGGTGGCGGAGTCGCTCGAGACTTACAAAGGAGTAGAGCCGTGCCATGGCGTGGCGGAAGGTTGAGGATAGTTCTCCTTTGAGAAAGATATGGTATCATGCTCCGCAAATGTTCTTCTCTCTATATTGTGAAGTGGCTGTCCCCCGGATACTCTGTAGACACCAACCCTTCTAGGCTCTCTACCATATGCTTCTTCAGAGTAGGGGTCGCGAACATGTCCCGTTCATCAACCCATAGAAGGTCTTTTACACGAGCTACTATAAAGCTTACAATACTACATATGCCAAGGAGGTAATAGCTTAGTAGAGGTAGATTCTTATTGGAGGCCTGGATTTCTCTAAGATAATGTAGGGTTTCGTAGGAGTCGTACGGTGTAGAGAGGCCGACGTTTAGGCGGTCGGGACCTACCTGCGGAATATTAAGCTCGGCCACGATGCGAGCCTCGAGTGGGCTGACAATACAGATGCTAGGGTCGGCGTGACTATGGATATAGATGACGGCGGTGCCATCAATGGGACCAGAGGTGTGATAGCCGGGCTGACGGCTCGAGGGTAGAGTGCCGTTTAGCCCAGAGCGCTAGAGGATGGTGCGGGCGGACTCAGTCCGCCTCTTTGCCCGGAAGTACCGAGTATCGGTCAAACTTGCCAGGAATTCGTAATAACGTGTAGACCGTCCATGGAATGCTCGGTCATTATGTGTTGAGATTGAGGAAGAAGCGTGGGATGGGAGTTGCTGCGTTGACACTTGAAGTAGTAGCCCACCAGGAAGGAATTGATACCCGAGCGGGAAGAGTTCCTTAAACAGCTTGCTATCCTATAACGAGCTCTTTCCCGTCATCTTCTCTCTAAGAGAGAAGGGAGTCGAAGAATATTCGCAAACCAACTTCGTACGTAGTGACGTCTGAACGTGGAAATGATGGCATCCAAAGGCGAAGACCCCAAACGAAGCGGATGGGCAATCCACGAATGGAAGTCATGTGGACAGACAAGGCAGATCGGAAAAAAAAGCTATCCAAACCTTTGCATTTAGTATCTATTAAACAGCAGATAATGATATCTACCAATTAGATAGGATTAGGTTTCAATCCTCAACCGCCTTACCAAGGAAGACTACCTATCTAGATACCATAAACCGGCCATATCAGATGGTTATAGATTCTGCCTTCATATATTTTTGCAAATGGAGCTCGACCATTAGATCAAGTTGTCATCAGCTTTCAACTCGACGCTGTGCAGAGAGTACTTTCCCTCTGAATTTTAATCTTCGGTGCCAGACATACGTTGAAAAACAAGTCAAGGCAGTGAGAAGGATAACAGCCAAGGCGTACAGTCCGGTGTGGATGTTGACAGACTTCTCGTTAGGGCACCATCGGGTCCGGCAAAGTGCACCGTCATGAAACCAGTACTGAAGAATGCCTAAAGAAATACCATGTCAGAACAGGTTGGCTTCCATTATGAAGAACTGGTCGGTCTTACGGTGACAAGGCTTAAAGGAAGGTACACCATGGCGATGATGGTAATCACCTTTATTAGCCTGGAGTCAGCGGCAGTTATTTTACTCATGTCTAGCATCAACTGCCGGTCAACTCTCGCCGCCTGTTCCATCTCGGCCATCATTTGCGTGTTCTTGGCTATTGCCTCACTCTGCCTGCTGTTCACGAAAACGGTTGTCTAATGTGATAATTCTTAGCGGCTACTGCCCTCTAGCCCTGCAAGACTATCCAGATAGATCTCGTGCCATCATACTTGTGGTATGTCCCCATCTTTCGATCGGACCAGGGGCGTTGAGGAGATCTTTTTGTGTTGACCATGTACCTTACTGGGTATATATAATCTACCCCTTCTCTATATATTTAAATTTTTCCTTTTCTCTAACCGTCGAGACCAGAAAACTCAATTCCCGGGTACGAGATTGGAAATTCTCTTACCAGTACTCGCGGAAAGAGTATTCCCAGAGGTTGGGAAAGGAGGGTCATCCATTCGGGCTTTATTTCCTATATGAAGAGCAAAATCCCCAGAAAAATCGGGTAGGAATCCTTCGACCGGATGGCCGAATCGTTTGAAGATGTCCAACAGCCCGAGGTGGGCACCCGTGATGGACATGATTTGTATTAATCCTCGGCTAGAGAGATTGAAGGGCGCCCAGGTGTGATTTTGAGACAGAAATCTAGGTGTTGAGATTCGCATAAGCTTAGCCTTGCACGACTTCGATGGTGGGAGTTTTAAAGACGGCATACATGAAGGTATTTCTTTGAAGACTAAGGTGTTACTGATGCATATTCTGCTTGTCAGTATGGGACATCTGGAAGGGCGAGGCACTGGCTGACCTTGTCGCTTCATAACATACCTGTAAGGTGCCCTCCAGACTGTCTTCTTTCGAGGCAATGTCAGATTTCACTTCCACATTTCCCTTGGTCGCCGATAGTACAGTTTCCACTTGAACATGGACCTGGAAGTCATCTGGATTGAAGAGGCCTTGTTTGGCCTCTTCCATACACTGAACTGCCCGTTCGAGCCGTTGGAAGCGTATGGATGGATCTAGGCTTAATTCAACCAAATCCTCATTACTGCTCTTTGCCATCATGAGAGTATTACCGATGGGAGGTGAGTCGAGACAAGTCGGCCTCGTGGATGGTGAGGTACAACCAAATGATGGGAGAGCAGAATGCAGCATTGGATGAATTAATTGTAGAATTATGAACCCCGCATAGTCCAAAGCGAGGCAGTGCTGGTCCGCCTCGCCTCGCCGGCGTCGCAGGGACCTCCTGCATGGAGGTTGATCCAGACTTCCGTGTCGATCTCTTATTGGCGAAGAGGCCAGCCGCCAACAGGCATCAGAAAGGGTGAGGAGGGGGTGGGGGTTGTCCAATTCTCTGGCTTCCGTTGGTCGCAAGCAAACACCTTTGTAGAGTCCCCTGAACGGTTGGGTTGGACCTCCTTGTATTCATCAATAGTAAGGTAGAAGGAAGGTCGAGCAACTGTCATGCAACCGTTGACCAACAGTTGCAAGCTCCCACATCCACAGTCCCTCATATTCAATATTTCATCTCGGAATAGCCATCTGCAATATGTCGTAGTGGTAAATTTGTTAAAAAACATTACTTCGTAGTTCGAATTCTGCAATCGTGGTAAGATGATCTGATTTTTCTGTAGGTATTTCTATGGATATTCACGTTATCCACAGGTATTGATGGGGGGAAACGGAACCCTTGAAACCCTTTCAAGTTTCCTTTTTTTTGCAAAACGGTTTGACTGTTGCAGAGCCATAGACGGTGGGCCAACCGTTGCCCAACCAACCTGACATACTGTACTTTTGCCAGGACGCGACTGTCAACCAACGGTCAAGGGCACCTAGTGACATTTACTATTGATGCTCCTGATTTCACTGAAACCTATGATCGGCTGACAGCTCATGACAGGGCCTTGTCAACTAAATCTTGGCGGGCTATATCTTGAAAAATGAACAAGCTCTGAGGTCGACGAAAGGTGAATCTTGTCGAAACGACCCTCTCTCTGTGCTAAATAAGTAGGTCTAAAACGAGCCGAGGACCTTGGATAACGCTCTTCTCCTTCGGGAATCATAGTACTCATGCATCACTCGTCCGGATAGGAAATTACAGAACGCTTGCAGGTATCAAGAAGACGCTTTGGGGCCTGCTACGGAGGCGGAAGAGACAAAAGATATCGCAGGTGATCCTGCAACAACAGCGGCAAATACCAGCTGCAGACTATATTTAAACTGATGATTGGATGAGCAGGCCAATTGTGGATGTTTTCCTACGTAGAGTAGGTTTCAGGAAGAGGGAAGATGCACCAGACGATTCACTTCGTGCTAAGCACACAGCAGAGCAGGACGTTACTGGACACCTGCAGCATTACAAGTGTCACAGCCACACATGGCCAAGACAGAAGGCCGGGCAGTCAAGACCAGCAGAAAAGGATAAACTACAGAAGTACACTAGATCACAGGAACGCCAGATCACCCATACTTACGATGATCCAGGAGTAATCCAGATCACACAGGATCACAGTAAGCCAAAGTAATCTAGGGAGAGCTTAGAAAGGAAACATCTATATAAACTACAGTTTACTCTATATATCTAGTTTATCTTTCAAAACTCTCTAGTAATCAATTCAAGTACAACTACACCCCTATACTTAAATATACACTTCTCACCTATATCTTATAAATACTATTTAACTACTTTACTCTACTACTAATAAACAACATCTTAATCCTATTACTAATTATATTTATTTAATACTATTAATAAACTAGTATTAAAATTATAATATATTAACTATTCCTATTTAGTAAATAACCTTATTAAATAGTATTAATATCTAGGAATTATAGTACTTAAGAAAAGAAAACTACTTACTACTCTAAATCCTAAATCAGATAACAAAATTAAAATATAAAAAACAACTACTCTATTTATAGATAATAGAGAAGATTCTAATAACAATTACAACTATACTATTACTATTAAGGAGGTATATAGTAAAGTTAAAGATTAGAT